TATATATATATATATATATATATATATATATATATATATATATATACCCACACACACACACAGTGGTGAAGAAAGTACTCAAACACTGTACTTAAGTAAAAGTACAAATTAACTGACAAAAATGTACAGTACTCTAGTAAAAGTAGAAATACCACATTAATGTTTTTACTTACGTAAAAGTAAATAAGTACTTGCTTTAAAAATAATTAAAATATTAAAAGTAAAAGTACTTGCTGAATGTATTACCTAATGCAATGGTCTACACTATCATTATGTGTACCTACTGTATGTATATTTTCTGTAATGCATTAATAGTGTTGAGCCATTTTAATGAACAATGCTGCAGCTAATGCATGTTTTTATTGTGTTTACTCTGTGACACAGTTCATACTTGGACTTGTGATTCTGTGCGTCAGAATTTCAGGGATAACATGCAGAGTTAAATGTTATTAAGCAAAATAAGAAAGAGGAATGATTATACCTTTGAAAGTTTTTATTTAGCATAGCAAAACCAATGTGTCATTGAAACTGCAGTAAACACATTGAAGTAAAAGTTGTCTGCCTGATAAAAGGAGCATTAGACACAACTGACAAAGGAACAGGCACTGATAATTTCAACTCCAGTTTGTCATCAACTCTAGTTAAAATACTGTCTAGTCAACTTTGTAATGGGTCAATAGTGAACGATATTTTAACTTCCTGACACCATTTTCAAAACTTGGACCCGAGTGTTGTCATTTGGAGACATCTCTTGTCTCCTGTGCTAACATCCCATGAACTGACAGATTTTAATATTGCAGCAAGAATTTCTTGTTCAAGTTCAGGAGAAGTTGGTGTTCAAAGTTTTTTGAGTCCAGTCTGGCTCTTTTGCAAGAGAGAATTTGTCCTGCTGTACTGAATAGTTTTTCAGTCTTCTGTTACAAATAAAGTCCAGTTGTTTTTGTATTGAACGCTTTTTGAATTCATCATGTCCTGGATGACTGAGAATCTTCACCAGCATAGTCGTTCAGTAGTCTTTCAATAGTCTTTCAATAAGGCCATGAGTGGTGTGTATCTTCTGGCTGACTCTCCGCGGCGGAATCCATTTTGGGTGTATTAGTGGTGGGACCGGTGCGCCCAGCTCATCCATCCATCCATCCATCCATCCATCCATTATCTTCCACTTGTTCCGAAGTTAGGTTGCGGGGACAGCAGCTTGAGCAGGGAAGCCCAGACATCTCTTTCCACAGCCACCTCTTCCAGCACTGCTGGGAGGATTCCAAGGTGTTCCCAGGCCAACCGAGAGACATAGTCGCTCCAGCGTGTCCTGGGTCTTCCCCGGGGTCTCCTTCCAGTCGGACATGCCCGTAGCACCTCCCTGAGGAGGCATCCAAGGGGCATCCTTACTAGATACTCGAACCACCTCAACTGACTCCTTTCAATGTGGAGGAGCAGCGGTTCTACTCCGAGTCTCTCCCATATAACTGAACTTCTCACCCTATCTCAAAGGGAGAATCCAACTACCCTGCAAAACTCATTTCAACCGCCTGTATCCACGATCTCATTCTTTCGGTCACTACCCAGAGCTCGCGACCATAGGTGAGAGTAGGAACGTAGACCGACCGGTAAACAGAGAGTTTTGCCTTACAGCTCAGCTCTCTCTTCACCACAATGGACTGGTACAGAGTCCGCAATACTGCAGATGCTGCACCAATCCGTCTGTCAATCTCACACTTCATTCTTCCCTCACTCGTGAACAAAACCCAGAGATACTTGAACGCCTCCACTTGAGGCAGAACCTCACCCTCGATCTGGAGAGAGCAATCCACTTTTTTCTGGTTGAAGATCATGGCCTCAGATTTGGAGGTGTGGATTCTCATCCCAGCCGCTTCACAATCGGCTGCAAACTGCTCCAGTGAGAGCTGAAGCTCACGGCACAATGACGCCAACAGGACCACATCATCTGCAAAGAGCAGAGATGGAATCCTGAGGCCACCAAACCGGAAACCCTCCGCCCCCTGGCTGTACTGAGAAATTCTGTCCATAAAAGTTATGAACAGAATCGGTGACAATGGGCAGCCCTGGCGGAGTCCAACTCTCACCCTGAAGGGTTTTGACTTAATGCCGGCAATGCGAACCAAGCTCTTGCATTGCTTGTATAGGGACTGAACAGCCCATAGCAATGAGCCCCCATTCCATACTCACGGAGCACCCCCCACAGTGTACCCCGAGGAACATGATCGAATGCCTTCTCCAAATCCACAAAGCATGTAGACAGGATGGGCAAACTCCCATGACCCCTCGAGGACCCTAGTGAGGGTAAAGAACTGATCCAGTGTTCCACGGTCAGTACAGAACCCACATTGTTCCTCCTGGATCTGAGTTTCGACCAATGATCGGACTCGCTTCTCCAGTACCCCTGAATAGACCTTACCAGGGAGGCTGAGGAGAGCGATGCCCCTATAATTGGAGCACACCCTCCGGTCCCCCTTTTTGAAGAGGGGAACCACCACCCCAGTCTGCCAATCCAGTGGGACTGCCCCCGATGTCCACGCGACATTGCAAAGGCGTGTCAACCAAGACAGCCCTACAACATCCAGAGCTTTGTTGAAATCAGATCTCTCTTGTAAATGACTCCTCGATGCTCAATGGGATTTACCTGTCTAAATAAAGGTTGAATGAAAAAAATCAGGGTGAATCCCATCTACTCCCGGAGCCCTGCTGCCTCAGAGCTTTTTAACTACCTCGGTGACCTCAGCCACAGTTATGGATGGATCAACCCCAAAGTCCCCCAACTCAGCTTCCTCCATGGAAGGCATGCTGGTGGGATTGAGAAGGTCTGAGAAGTATTCCTGCCACCTCCCGACAACATCACTGGTTGAGGTCAACAGCAGCCCACCTTCACTGAATACAGTGTTAGTAAAGTGCTACTTTCCCCTCCTCAGCTGTCTGATGGTTTTCCAGAATCTCCTTGGAGCCGACTGAGAGTCATTATCCAAGGTCTCACTGAACTCCTCCCACATCCGAGATTTTGCCTCAGAAACAGCCAAGACTGCGGACCGCTTGGTCCTCCGGTACTCCTCAGCTGCCTCCGGAGGCCCACTGGCCAACAAGGCCTGATAGGACTCCTTCTTCAGCTTGACAGCCTCCCTAACCCGGGGTGTCCACCACCGAGTTTGTGGATGGCTAGCGCGAGAAGCACCGACAACCTTACAGCCACAGCTCAAGGCAGCTACCTCAACAAGTGAGGTGCGGAATATGGCCCACTCAGACTCAATGTCCCCCACCTCAGCTGGGATGCAGTTAAAGCTCTCCCAGAGGTGTGAGTTGAAGATCTCTCTGACGCGTTCTTCTGCCAGGCGTTCCCAGCAAACCCTCACTACATGTTTGGGCCTACCGGGTCTGTTCGGCATCTTCCCCACCATCTGATCCAACTCACTACCAGGTGGTGATCAGTTGACAGCTCAGCTCCTCTCTTCACCTGAGGGTCCAAAACAAATGGCTGCAGCTCCTCTCTTCACCTGAGGGCCCAAAACAAATGGCTGCAAATCAGATGACATGACTATAAAGTCTATCATCGATATATGACGTAGGGCGTCCTAGTGCCAAGTGCACTTATGGACACCTTTATGTTTGAATACGGTGTTTGTGATGGACAAACTATGACTAGCACAGAACTCCAACAACAGAACACCGCACTGATTCAAATCTGAGAGGCCATTCCTCCCAATCACGCCTCTCCAGGTCACACTGTCATTACCCACATGGGCATTGAAGTCCCCCAGCAGAATAAAGGAGTCCCAAGCTGACGCACCTTCCAGCATCTGTGCCAAGGACTACCAGAAGGCCAGATACTTTGAACTGCCGTTCGGTGCATAGGCACAGACAACAGTCAGAGCTCATCCCCCCACCTGAAAGCGAAGGGAATCCACCCTCTCATCTACCGGGGAAAACTCCAACACACAGGCACCAAGTCAGGGGGCTACAAGTAGACCCACACCAGCTCGATGCCTCTTACCATGGGCAACTCCAGAGTGGAATAAGGTCCAGCCCCTCTCAAGGAGATCGGTTCCAGAGCCCATGCTGTGCATTGAGATGAGGCCAACTATATCTAGTCGGTACCTCTCAACCTCACGCACAAGCTCAGGCTCCTTCCTCACCAGAGAGGTCATGTTCCATGTCCCAAGAGCCAGCTTTCGTAAGCCAGGGTCAGAGCGCCAAGGTCCCCACCTTCGGCCACTGCCCATGGCATCATGCACCCAACTTTTATGGCCCTTCCTGCAGGTGGTGGGTCCACAGGAAGGCAAACCCATGCTGCTCCTTCGGGCTGAGCCCAACTAGGCACCATGGGTAGAGAGCCGGTCACCAGGCGCTCCTTGACGAGCCCCTCCCCCAGGCCTGGCTCCAGGGTGGGGCCCCGGTAACCCACGTCTGGGCAAGGGACACCGAGTTCCTTGCTGTGTCATGTCCATAAAAACCTTCTGAATCGCTCCTTGTCTGGCCTGTCACCTAGGGCCAATCTGCCTTGGGAGACCCTACCAGGGACAATTATAATTGCCCCTGACAGCATATCTCCTAGGATCATTCAGACACACAAACTCCTCCACCACGATAAGGCGGAGATTCAAGGAGGAGGCGCCCAGCTCAATGACATATATACTAGAATATACATCATTGGCCCAGCTCTTCTTGAAGGTGGATCTAACTTTACCTGCCCACTTTGCAGTGATTCAATTGACCAACTCTCCTCTCGCCATTGGTTTCTTTCAAACTAACAAACAAATTAAAAAAAAAACAACGTGAATGTAACGTGTACTGCAACTCATTGTAGAAACTTAGTGTAGTAGAAAGTACAGATACTTAATGTAAAATGTAGTTGAGTAAACATTGAAAGTACCCACATTTAACTCTACTTAAGTACAGATACATGAAAAATGTACTTAAGTAAAGTAACAAAGCACTTGTACTTAAATAGATGTGGGATGTAAATCCCACCACTGCATATATATATATATATATATATATATATATATATATATATACACATATACACACACACACACACACGTTAGTCCCTCTTTACTTCGCGGTTCAACTTTCAAGGTACAGTACCGTACTGTAAGATTGTACATGACAAAATAAAAAAAATTAAAAAAGTGCAGCCATTTTGTAGTTTTCTCTCAATAAGCCTATACTGTATCGTTGAAAGGATTACATTACCCAGAAGGCAAAGTTGCCTTTTGCTGGATGGAAAGTTTTGATCTGATTAGAAAAAGTTCTATTTAAGAGGTAAATGAGGACTAGACTACTTTAATTGCAGGACTTAAACTTTATTACAGGCTTTAGCAGGAAATAAACAGCTCATAACTTAACATTAAATTGCCCTGAGTTCCTTTCCCCCCGATCTGTTTCTAGTTCATTTTGGATCAGTTTATGAGTGATGAACCTCCTGCAGCTTGACAGAATCAGTTCAAATTGTGTACCTGGGTTTGTCACACAGGACATCTTCAGGCAGCAGGTACGGCGCCTCCTTCTGACGACGTTCTATGACCTGCAGAAACACAGGATGCGCTTTAATCACAAATGCACACAAACATCTCTCCTCGTGTCCATGCGCTCACCTGGGTGACATGCTGATGGAGCGGTGGAGGCGGGCCGAGCTGCGACAGCAGGTTGAGGAAGGCGGCGCAGATGGCATGAAGGCCGAAGCGGTTAAACGCGGACAGACTCAGCTGATTGGACAGAGCCAGCTCCTGAATAACCAATGACAGATCAGGTTAAAGCAAAAGAAGCAGGAGAACAGAAAGAGAAAATCTTGTTTGTGGATTTTACTGAATTGTTGTCAATTACCCTAATTACCGTATTTTCCGGCATATAAGTCACTTCAGAGTATAAGTCACATCAGTTAAAAAAGCATCATGAAGAGGAAAAAACATATATAAATCTCTTTTGCATATAAGTCACATTTATTATGCGTTTATTTAATGGGCAAAACAGATTTATTTCGCCTGGGCGGTGCGGCACCATCCATTCATCCATCATGGCCGGAGCTGCTAGTTCTCCAGCATTCCTCCGCCTGCACCAGCTGAGCGAAGCGAGTGCGCACAAGGAGGACTTGTTGTTGCAGTTCTTTGAAATTTAAAGCGTCAGTCAAAAATTGCATTATGAATATGAAAAAAAAAACGTATACAAGTCGCAGGACTGATAAATCTATGCTAAAAACTTTGACTTATACGCCAGAAAATACGGTAGTTACTAAACGCTACTGAATGAGTTTAGTTGCCCCTGTCCCAAATTTAATAAAATTCCAAAGTACCGGTTCTCAGCTTTTCCCTATAAACAGGACAATTTCCTAGATATCTTTATTAAGGTATTGTGAATAAAATATAGGTTTATAAAATTTGCAAACCATTGCATTCTGTTTTTATGTACATTGTGCACAACATCTCAACTTCTTGGGAGTTGGGGATGTAAATTAGAGGAGCAGTATCTACCTGCAGGGCCAGGACCAGCTGGATTAGGTCCACCAGCACCTCCTCATTGACCAGTTCCACACTTAGAACAGCCAGCAGGGTGAAGAGCGCCTGGTAATGGCTGCGCCCGTTGTTCTCCTCCCGACAGGCTAGGTAGACGTGCCTGTAGAGACGCTGCGTGTGCTGCACAAACACAATGACTTCAATGTTTTATTGTTTCTCTTGCAGTGACAACATTAAAGTAGTTAATGTTGATTTAATTACCTTCCTTATGAAAAGGTTGTCCTGTCGAGAACATCTGTCCTCCTTCAGTTCCAACACTGACGCATCAAACGTCACACTGTCAACCAATAAGTAAGAGCAGTCTGTCAGCGGTAGATTTAAACTTAGAAATTGTGAGAAAACTTGATGTGTATCAATCAATGGAGCAGAGACCTGACTGAGGCGAGTCTGGTGCTGTTGTGGCGGCGATCGATGAGCGAGGTGAGGATGGACAGAACCAGCAGGCGGATTTCTGGATCTTCCATCAGGGTGAAGGACAGCAGAGGCTCCAGGAAGGAGGAGGGCAGCGCCGTCAGCAGGTTGCTGCTCTCGTAACGCTCGGACACCTGAGGAGGAGGAAACCACCTGCATAAATCTTAGTGTCACTTCTGATGATCCTGTGGCTCTTTGTGCTTCAACAGATATTTCAACACTTTTTATTACTTTCAACAAAGTTAAGGCAGCTCATTTGGATGTTGTTGTTTTTTTGTTGTTGAGACGTTTCATTCTTCATCCAAAGGACTTCATCACGCTTAGGAGCCACAACAAACACAGACCCACAAGCAGCACAGTCACATAGTGGACCGACCAGTTTGTTGGTGATAAGATGGTTTCTAGGGCCTGTCCTCTCCCCCGTCGACTCCTCTAAGGCAGCCATAGCCAAAGTGGTTCAAACCATCAAAGTTGATGCGCAATAATCCAAGTAAAAAAAAATCCAACAAAGTTAAGTCAGGTCATCTGGACAATTTTTTTTTGTTGTTGTTGAGATGTTTCGTCCTTCATCCAAAGGACTTCATCAGTCCAAGGAGCCACAACAAACTCAGTCCCAAACTCAAACTCCCCACTCAAATGTTTCAAATCACTTTGGCTATGGCTGCCTCACAGGAGTCGATGGGGGAGAGAGCGGGCCCCAGAAACCGTCTTATCACCAGCAAACTGGTTGAATTACCGTAATCAGAGGTGTCAAACTAATTTCCACTGAGGGCCACATCACCATAATGGTTGCCGTCAAAGGGCCAGATGTAACTGTAAGACAGTATAAATGTAGCTAAATTTAACTAAATGTAATGTCAAATAAACACACCTACCCAAATGTTAAATAACTCTTAATTTTTTTACTTATTCCACTTAAAAATACTACATATATAAATTTGCATAAATGTAGAAAAACATGTCTGCTGTTATAACATAAAACCATTTAATTTGACAGGTTATGAAACCCACATTACTCCATAAATCAATGATCAAACTTTCCTAGTTCCTAGTAAGGAAAAACAACAAGTTATGACATTAACTTTGTTCAAAACTTTGTCATTTAAGAGGGGCAGAATAACGTTTCAACCAAGAATTGTGAGCTGCAAAGAACATGGGACAGTTGTAGAATTTAAAAAAATTAATAAAAATATGGGCACAGAGTCTTGCAAGGGACATACATCCAACTAATGACAGATGGCATTATTATAGAAAACATTTGCATGTGTTAACACATAAACCTGCAATCCCAAAGACACTGCTGCAAATTTAACATAATATAATAAAATACATTTAATAAGTACAATAAACTCAAATAACAACATTAGGGTTGAAGGCTCACTTTGTCATACTTAGCTCCAGTTTGGTGCCAAAATGCTGACGTAGATTGTACTCTGACGACCTCCACTGTCTCATAGCACAACAGACATACCAGTTTCTCTCCTTGAAACACAAACATGTTCATCTTCCCATCTTTCTTGAAACAGCTTCCATCTGCATCAATTTTTTTTTTCTTCCTGGACATTTTGGGATTATTGTTTGCATTTCTCAATTCCACTTGTTCGGAAAATGATATTGATGTAGACAAACTGCGATTTAGTGGTGGGATGCTGTTACTTCGCTGGTAACATAATCAACATGCATTATGGGAAATGCAGTTTGTTGTCAGTGCACCCTTTTGACTTATTATATGATAATCTGACCTTTTAAGCTCTCGCGGGCCACATAAAATTACATGGCAGGCCACATCTGGCCTGCGGACTTTGAGTTTGACACATATTTACAGTTAGGGACTACATTTACAGTAGTCCCTCGTTTATTGCCAGGGATTCGTACTCTGAAGCCCTGCGATAAGTGAAAGACCGCAAAGTGGGAATAGTAGTACAAGTAGTAGTTTATTTTAGTATATATTAAGGCGTTTTAAACCTTCCCACACTCTTGCAATATTCTAAACAACGTTTCTAAACTAAATGCTCTAAAAGAGCACAGAATGTCATGATTTCCCTCTCTGTGCCTCCGCTGCTCTCAGCCACCAGCAAGCGCTCTCGGCCACGCCCACTTCACCGCTCTGCACGCAGATCAGCTGATCAGCTGCAGGAGGAAGTTTATCCTGCAGCAGTATGGGCTGCACAGAGGTGCAACAGGTGCTAAATAATTTTAAATAGTTTATTTTAAATAAAAAAATCCATGCCGATCGTGTGTCATGTCCAATCTTATTTTGAAAAACCACGATAGAGCGAGTCCGCGATAAACGAACCGCAAAGTAGCGAGGGAGTGGCATTCCTTTTAAAATTCTTTAAAAAATGTTTTAAATGAAAACAAACATTTTTGTTTAATATTTATATAAGGTTGTTTTTTTTTTATCAGATATTTTTAAGTCGGCATCTAATTTATTTATTTTGTTACGCTAACTGAATTTTTCAGAACATATTTTTGGACAAATAAAAGAAACGTTTCAAATTTTTTCGTGAAAAGGGTGAGATTTTATTTTTTGATATTTTGGCATTTTTAGTTTTTGGATACACTTAAGTAATCAGTTCTACAGTAACAAAGTTCTAGTAGGTTTTTTAAATACTAAATAATCTTGTGAAATGTTGTCTTTAGGGCTTTTGCAGCTGGACTTTTTTTTTCAGGTTTGAGGTCAACAGTTTAGTTTAATTTATTATTAATTTATAGAAAAGCTCCAGTTAAACTAATCTCATGTTTCATAACTGATTATCCTGTTCTTGTTTTGTATTCAATTTCAATCCAGTTTATTTATATAGCACCGAGCCACAACCGAAGTCGTCTCAGGGCACTGAACAGAAACTTTCATATATCGGTATATAAAAAGTAAGTTAACAACATTATTTATCTGAGGAGCAGACTGCTTTGAGTTTAACTCCATCACAGAACTCTCATCTTGAGCGAGCATGAAGGCGACAGTGGAAAGGAAAAACTCCCTCTTGAGGATGAAACCATTAACAGAGCCAGGCTCAGGACAAGCAGTTTAAGACTCATTATCTTGTTTTTGTTTTCTGACAGAAGATTTTTAGTTTGATTAAATTTGTTTCACTTCTTTTCAGCAGGGTAATTTAAAAAGGTGGTGGCAGATTATTATTATTATTATTTTTTATTAATGAAGCATGGCTGTACATGGAAATTAGTTTTGATAATAATCTAGATTATGAGTTTTGTTATAGTTTCCTGCAGTGATTATTGTTGCTGATTGTTGTTTTTCTTTCAGCTGCTCCCTTCTGCAGGGGTCATTACAGCGAGCGAACTAACGTGAAAGATTTGGCAAGTTTTTTACACTGGCTGCCATTCCTGACACAGTTTGAACTTGGGATTACGAGACCGTCACACTGACCACCGCTCTACTGCTGCAGATTAATAAAATTAAAATGAAACCTGAGTTCTATCAATCTGAAGAATGATCAGGATTTGTACTCAAAACTTCTCACCTGGAGGAGAGACTTCAGCAGCATCACCTGGATCATCCTACTGCCTTCAAACCTGGAAAATAAAAACGTCAACGTTCTTGCTCAATAATCCAGGTAAAAAATCCAACAAAGTTCAATCAGGTCATCTGGACGGTTTCTTTTTTTGTTGAGATGTTTTGTCCTTTATCCAAAAGGACTTCATCTACTGTATCTTCATACCACTTTGGCTGTGGCTGCCTCAGAGGAGTTGACGCATGAGAGGGCGGGCCCCAGAAACCATTTTATCACCAGCAAACTAGTTGGCCCACTATGCGAGTGTGCTGCTTGTGGGATGCCTCCTCAGACTGATGAAGTCCTTTGGACAAAGGACGAAACGTCTAAACCGTCCAGAGGACCTGACTGAACTTTGTTGGAAAAATAAAAACTCTTACTCAGAATCATATGCTCATCAGGTTGTGCAAAGTGTGAACATTACCCGGCATTGGGAGACCCCAGGGCTGGGTAGATTCCAGGGACAGGAATCTTCCCCATGATGAACAGCATGACCTCTGACCTCTGGTAGACCGGAAGCGTGTTGGCGAACGATCCTTCAGCGGCGACGACAGATCAGTCAGAACGAGCAAAGAGGAAACGTACATCAACGGAACGTGGGACTGACCGATGGTTCTGATGACTGCGTCCTGCAGCGTTGTCTCCTCAGTCCAGGTGGTTGCCTGTTTCCCGGCGTTGTCATAGTAACCGGTCAGCTGGTAGTCCACGCTCTGCCTGAGCTGTCGCAGTAAAGTGTTAAACACTTCCAACACCGTGGGTCCTGCGGGATGAAGCACAGCATTGCAGGAACACTCCGTTTAGAGATGTTTAAACTTTATTCACGTTTAAATAAGTTAAATATGAGTATGTTTGGAGTGCTGGCGCACCCACAGATCCTGTCGCTTCGATAACAGCAGCTTCGGAAAGAACCTCCACGATCCCGGCTCGGACAGACGCTGGACTCCTGCTGTTGGCGTCCAGGTGACCCAGCAGCTGCTGGATGACCAGGTGGGAGTGCTGAGGCTGATGATGAGAACATTTCAGTCTTGGGATTACAAATCCACACGGGGAGCAAAGCTGCAGGAGCCAGAGAGCGGAGGAGCCCAGAAAGTCATGAACCAGTCAGAGCAGACTGGAAGGTGTGGATGTGGGCAAAGTGAGGCGGGATTACTTCAGCCTCACACCACTGCACAAAGTTTTTATTTCAGACATGTAGTTTGATGGACTTACGTATATTTTTCTACAGCTGAAGTTCTGCTCTGGGCTGTGGTGAGCTCTTCTGCACATGCTATGAAAAGCAGCGCAAATATGTAATCTGGGCCAGTGGATTATCGATAAACTGGCTCTGAGCACAAAATAAAAATATTTCTATGACTGTAGAAACCATTTCAAAAACCTTCAGACGCAATGGTTATGATGTCTGCTGACGTTTAAATAAATGGGATACATGCTGAAATCCTGAAAAGTCCTGTTTTTATTTAGATTTATAAGTACGCTGATGCAACTCGGCTTTTTCAAGTTCAATTAAAGTAGGTGCGGAAAAAGTTAGTTTTAAAATAATATTTACTGTACTATAACAGGTGCATCTGAAAAAATTAGAATATCATGAAAAAGTTCAATTTTTTTAGTCAATCGTTTCAGAAAGTGAAACTCATATATTACAAAGATTTATTGCACATACTTCAAGGCTTTATTTCTTGTCATTTTGATGATTATGGATTACATATAATATAAAACCAAAATTCAGTGTCTCAGAAAATTAGAATATTCCACAGCCAGCTTCTGGTACCTCTGTCAGTGTGGGCCGGAGCCGAGATCTGATAGAAAATGAATTCAGCATCTCCATGAAGCTCATCAGAAGCAGCAGAAGGAAGCATGAAAGTCTATAAAATGTCCTGGTAGATGCTGCGTGGACTGTGGACTTCAGAAAACACAGTGGACCAGAACCAGCAGAGGACATGAACCCAAACCATCACTGACTGTAGGAACTTCACTCTGGACTTCAAGGAACGTGGATTCTGGACCTCTCCACTCTTCATCCAGACTCTGGGACCTTGATTTACAAATGACATGAAAATTTACTTTCATCTGAAAAGAGGACATTGGACCGCTGAGCAACAGTCCAGTTCTTTGTCTCCTCAGCAGGTAAGACATTTCTGTTGTCTCTGGTTCGGGAGTGTCTCGACTTGAGGAATGAGACATTTGTAGCTCATGTCCAGGAGTTAATCAGCTGATCAGGGTGAGACACCAGGAATTTACAATAAAGAACCTCTTCGCAATATTCTAATTTTCCGAGACGCTGAGTTTTGTTTTTCATTATTTGTAATCCATAATCATCAAAATACAAAACGTAAAAGCTTAAAATATTTCACTCATTGTATATGAGTTTTACTTTCTGGAATCCATCCATCATCTTTACCCACTTCTTCCTTTTCATGTCACGAGACTTTTCGAAAGGATTTTCATGATATTCAGATTTTTTTTAGATCCATCTGTAGATAAATTTAAGAACAGTAAGAGACAAATAAAACTTATATTTAACATATTTTCCTTCACTTTTTAGAAGTAGATTTAGGAATGTAAAAGGAAGCATTAGGTGGTTAGGGTAATTTAAGTAAAGAAATGCGTATTTTATTACGTTTTGAAGTAATAATTATTTTTCATTTACAGCTCATTCATTCAAGGTAAACCTTCTTTTTCATGTTATTGTATTTGAATGACTCTTTCACATTTTTGTGCAATTAACAGGTTATTTAAAGAACTTCTTTTAAACTATTTTTCCTCTTTTGAAAACACAGTGTATTAAAAATGTTTTTACACACCTGAATTGAAAACATGATGATCTGAAAACATCGTACAGCGAAGCCTCGTCCCCCCCACAGACTGTGGCTGTCCAAGTGCCTGAAAACAACAATCAGCTGTACTCTAGTATTTATACTGTAAATACAATACAAGTACTTTTACCGCCACTCTATTTTTATTAAAACTACTGCTGGTACTAGTGCCAATACTACAACTACAGCTGCATTTTCCTACCAATACGGATGGATCAGACACTTTGTCAAAGTTTAAGATTCTGCAGTTTAAATCGGTATTTAAAGTTTTAGTGACGTACAGTAGCCCCTCGATACTTCGAGGTTCGACTTTCGTGGACTCACTCTTTCGTGGGTTTTCAACGTAAGATTGTACACCACATGATTTACAATGGGGAAAGACAGACCCCCAACCCCGCCCCCTCCCTTCTCTTTCTCTGCTGTGACAGACAGACTCAGAAAGAGAAAGGAGGGGGCGGTGTTGAGGATTTGTTCAAGTTTAACCAGGATTTGTTTAGGACTTATTATTTGGGACATTATAATTTGATATAAGTTACTATTTTTAGTTGTAATTTTTATTCCATAAAGATTTCGTTAGTATCTGGTTCAAAAGCGGACTAGATGAACACATGTAGAATATGTGAGAAAATGCTTAGGTGGAAAAATAAGAGTGAATCAGTTTTAAAAAGAGAGAGACTGGCAGAGCACGGCTGAGTGCAGCTCACTCAGGTATAAGACAGACATCCCCCATGTCCCCTCCTTTCTCTTTTCAAGGCTGTCTGTCACAGCAGAGAAAGAGAAAGGAGGGGGCAGGGAGGGGTTTGTTTTTCCCATCGTGTCCCAAAGACACACATCAGGTGGGCGCACAACAGACAAACTCGGAAAAAGAAAGGAGGGGCGGGGTCTGTCTTATACCTGAGTGAGCTGCACGAGCTGCACGGATTAATTTAAAATAATCAGGTGCGACCCGAACCGAGTCTTTAGACTCATTCAGCAATCACTGAGCAGGCCAGTCCACCAGGAAATGTCCCAGTGCTCCCGATGGTCAGCCCACCCTTGGGGCTCAGTAACCGTAGCATCAGTCGGTCGGCACTCTTTCACTGTGTTTTTTTTTTTAGAGCGTTTAGAACAATGTTAAGAACATTGTAAGAGTGTGGGAAGGGTTTATAAAGCCTTAAAATATATATAAATACTAAAATAAATATAAAGTCCCTACTTCACAGATTTTCACCTATTGCAGGGGTGTCTGGAACGTAACCCCCGTGACAAGTGATTGACTACTGTATTATCCTTTCAAGACAAAAAGCATGAAACTGGAGCTTTAATCTATCTCTGTCATTGCTTTTGTAAAGGAAACAGAACTATAACCGCCAAGGTGCGCTTCTTACATGAGCACAGGTCTGATGGCGTTGTTGATGTGACCGTAAGCCGCTCGGCCCAGAAGCTCCCTGAAACACACCTCCGTCTGCTCAGCAGGAGAACCGCTGTTCAGAGTGGAGACAAAAATATTAAATCAAGTCATTTATAGGTTTTAAATATTCTCATAAACAACAAAATGTGTTTTATTTTTAATGGATTGTAATCCAGTTTGGCAGCTCAGGAGCAACGAACACCTGCTGCTGTCTGAGAGCTGCAGGTTGACCAGCAGGGCGGGGACGATCTGCTCCATGTGTCGAGGCTCCCAGATGTTGACCTGCAGCTCGTCGTCTACCGTCTTCCTGACGACGCCCTGCAGGCCGCGGATCCCCGACACGCGGATCCTAAACGAACAGTTCAGCAGAACCACGTTCAGCTCAGAAGAAACTTTAGTCCCAGGCAAGTCACACGATCTGTTAGTGCTCAGAATATATAGGTTAGAGATGACTCTCAGCTATATTTATTTCCCTTAAACTAATAAATAAAACATTAACACTTTGTTGTATATTTGATTTTAATAGTCCGCCCCATAATGTGTGATATTTTATGTAATTTTCACTAAATGAATACATGCATCCTTGGATTATATTGTGAGGTATAGAGGTACAATACAACATGAATGTTTAAAAAACCTGTTTCATTGTATTTTCTAATAAATGTTAATATTTTAAATAACTGTAAAAATCGACTGACTTGATTTGAGTGTCGTGGTCGTTGTGGTCAGAGTGACACATCTCACTAAAGCGAGACACGAAGAAGTCATAGCTGCGATGATACGAAGGCGTGTCTTCTTCAATGTTTGCAAACTTCACAAACTACAAAAAAAAAAAAAAAATGTAAAAAATCTAACAAAAATCCTTAAAATAAAAAAGAACTTGACAGATAAAAAAAAACCAGAACATTTTGAAGGTATTAAAATAATATGGAATAAAAGAGATGCATTTCTTTAAACGTGCTTCTTGGTCGACTAAAAGAACTTCATATTTTACAGCAACGTACGGAAACTACTTGTTAAACGACAACAGAACCCACATTTTGTAAAATAAGTGCAAAACCTAAACTCTTATTTGAGTTTTAAAATCATATGATCCTAGAATTACAAACTGCAATACCAGAGAATTCATGAACACTTCCTGTTTTCTATGCTTTTAACCAGTTGTTCCCAACCCTGGTCCCTGAGGAACACCATCCTGTATGTTTTAATTGTTTCTCTGCTCCAACACGCCTGATTCAGTGATTTAATTACTTCAAGTTCTGCAGAAGCCTGTTAATCACGCGTTCATTCAAATTAGGTGTTGGAGAAGAGACACAACTAAACCATGCAGGATGGTGTTCCTCAAGGACCAGGGTTGGGAACCATTGCTTTAAATTAGACAAAGTTAGAGAAAGCAGAATTAGTCCTGCTGCTTAAACACACTGATATCCCTCTGTGTGCTCGTTTCTAAACTGCTAATCCCACATAAGGAATTGTAAATCTCACAAAAAAGGAAATGTGTTAAAGGTTGCATAAATACATTTATTTTACAGCCACAGTCTCTGAGACTTTGAGGGACATCGTCAGTGAGATGAGGACTGGAACAGAAACAGAAGAAAAAGGAAGTCAACTCATTGTGACTGCTGAATAGTGGAGAAGGGGAAAATATTTAACATGTTTATTGGTTCTCGAAACCAGTAAACCAAAATCTCGAAATTGCTCTCTTCAGGTCGAGGGTGATGTTCTGCCTCAAGTGGAGGAGTTCAAGTATCTCAAGGCTTTTGTTCACGAGTAAGGGAAGAATGGAGCGTGAGATTGGCAGATGGATTGGTGCAGCGTTGGCAGTATTGCGGACTCTGTACCGGTCCGTTGTGGTGAAGAGGGAGCTGAGCTGTAAGGAAAAGCTCTCTGTTTATCGGTCAGTCTACGTTCCTACCTCACCTATGATCACGAGGTAGTGACCGAAAGAATGAGATCACAAATACAGGCGGTTGAAATGAGTTTCCTCTGCGGGGTAGCTGGACTCTCCCTTAGAGATAGGGTGAGAAGTTCAGTCATCTGGGAGAGACTCAGAGTAGAACCGCTGCTCCACCACATCAAGAGAATCCAGTTGAGGTGGTTGGGGCATCTGGTAAGGAATGCTCCCTGGGTGCCTTCCTAGGGAGATTTTTCGGGCATGTACAACTGGGGATGACCCAGGCCAAGCTGGAGAGACTATGTCTCTTGGTTGGCCTGGGAACACTTTGGGGTCCCCCAGAAGAGCTTGAAGAGGTGGCTGTGGAAAGAGATGTCTGGGCCTCCCTGCTCAAGCGGCTACCCCTGCAACCTGACTTAGGAACAAGTGGAAGATAATGGATGGATGGATGGATGGTTCTAGAAACAGACGTTTCTAACTGAACCGAACTAAAAGTGCTGTGAATGGAACTGGACTAACTGTTTTCAGGCTGAATGAGACTTTGTCAAATGTAGCTTGTAAGTGTGTGCGTTTCGTACAGAGTTTGTGGCGAGGATGTGCAGGTGCGATTTGTCGGCCTCCAGCAGCAGTCTCAGTGTACTGAGGAAACTCTCCACCAGCAGGTTGATGCTCTGACAGCGACAGGCCAGCAGCAGCTGCTCCATCGCCTCCATTGCTATGCACACATACCTGAAGCACAACAGCATTAATGGTGAATGTGAGCCTGAATGCAGACTGGACTTTGGGGGAATTTCTGCTGTTTTTGTTTAAAAGCGCTCCCAGTGACCCCCTGTGGTGTGGATCTATTTGTATTCTGGATGATGTGCAGAAGCCAGAGCACTGACCCATAACGGTGGCGGTTCAGCTCTCTGGTCAGACGTTCTGACAGGTAAGCAGCGATTCTGTCGAGTTTCTCCGGAGCTGACAGAGCGAAGAAGGTTAGTTTCTCCATGTTGGCTTTCACCAGTCCATCCTGTTTACACAAACACACAGGCGAGGTCGTTTCATCTGAGTTTCCTTCACTTTTCATCAGGAAGGCACAATGATTCATGGTGTTTACCTCGGGATTTTCAGGGAAAATGTTGTCGACCAGCCGCTTGTAACGAGGGCGCAGCGCCCAGCAGCAGCCACAAAGACCTGCAGACACATTTACCGGTATTTCATTTTCAACATTCAAAACACAGTCGCATTTAGAGAGGAGGAGCCCAAAATGCAGCCAGGCAGCAGATTAACCAAAAAAAAAAAAAAAAAGCTTCAGGCAGTCCCCCATTCCTGAGGGATTTAAATAGTGAATGTTTGTAGTATGTGAGTTGAGTGTTTTTCTGGACGGGAATTAAATAGGGAATGCAAGTAAATTTATTTTTGGTGCAAGACATTCAAGTGAGAAGGAGTTACATTGTGTATAAGATGAGAGAAAGATTTTTTAAAAACTTTATATTCTTCTTCTTTTTGCCTTTCCCTCTTCAGGGGTCTCCACAGCGAGTCATCCTCCTCCATCTCACTCTGTCCTCTGCATCCTCTGTCTTCACTCGATCTACTGCCATGTCATCTTTAACTGCATCCATATATCTCTTCTTTGTCTTTTTCCTGGCAGCTGCATTTCTAACATCTTTCTACCAGTATACCCACTGTCCCTCCTCTGGACATGTCCAAACCATCTCAGTCTGGTCTCTCTAACTTTATCTTCCAGTTGTTCCACCTGTGCTGTACCTCTGATGATCTCATTCCTATTCTTATCCATCCTTGTCACTCCTAAGGAGAACCTCAACATCTTCATTTCTGCCACTTCCAGTTCTTTCTCCTGTCTTTTTGTCAATGCCACTGTCTCTAGACCATACAACATAGCTGGTCTCACCACTGTCTTGTAAACTTGTCCTTTGACTTTTGCCAACACCCTTTTGTCACAAATCATTCCTGAAACTTTTCTCCATCCACTCCATCCTGCCTGAACTCTCTTCTTCACCTCTTTACCACACTCCCCATTTTCCTGGACAGTGGACCCCAAGTACTTGAAGTCCTGCACCTTTGTGACCTCTGCTTCTTGTAGCGTCACTGTTCCACCGGCCTCCCTCTCATTCATACACATGTACTCGGTCTTACTACGGCTGACTTTCATTCCTCTTCTTTCAAAAGCATACCTCCACCTCTCCAAGTTCTCTTCCACCTGTTCCCTGTTCTCACCACAGATCACAGTGTCATCTGCAAACATAATAGTCCACGGGAATTCCTGTCTAACCTCATCTGTTAGTCGGTCCATCACCAAAGCAAACAAGAAGGGGCTCAGAGCCAATCCTTGATGCACTCCCTCCTCCACCTTGAAGCTATCTGTCACTCCTACAGCACATCTCACCACTGTCCTGCTGTCCTCATACATGTCCTATACCAGTCTAACATACTTCTTTGCCACTCCAGATTTCTTCATAGAATACCTCACCTCCTCCCTCAACACCCTGTCATATGCTTTTTCTAAATCCACAAAGACACAATGGAGTTCTTTCTGACCCTCTCTGTATTTCTCCATCAGCATTCTCAAAACAAAGATGGCATCTGTGGTGTTCTTTCTTGACATGAAACCATACTGCTACTCGCAGGTAGTCACCTCCCGTCCAAGTCTAGCTTCCACAACTTTCTGCCAGATCTTCATCGTGTCATCAACTTAATCCCCCTGTAGTTGCTACAACTCTGTACATCAACCTTGTTCTTAAAAATGGACACCAGCACACTTCTTCTCCACTCCTCAGGCATTTTCTCACCCTCAAATATGCCATTGAATATTAGAGTCAAAAACATCTATACCATCTCTCCAAGACGTTTCCAAAGCTCCACTGGTACATCATCAGGTCCTACTGCCTTCCCCTTCTTCATTCTTTTCAGAGCTTTCTGGACTTCACCCTCACTAATCTTTCCCACTTCCTGGTCCACAGTTTCTATGACCTCTACTCTTCGTTCTCTTTTATTCTCTTCATTCATTAGCTCCTCAAAGTACTCCTTCCATCTTCCCATTACACTCTCCTCACTTGTTAGAACATTATCATTCCTATCTTTAACAAGCCTAACCTGCTGCACATCCTTTCCAGCCTGATCCCTCTGCCTCGCCAATCGGTACAAGTCCTTCTCGCCCTCTTTAGTGTCCAGCCTCCTACACAATTCATAATACACCTTTTGCTCTCCACTGCCACAACCTTACAGTCTCCAATCTCCCTCAAGTTTCCTCTTCTACACAGGATGTAGTCGACCTGCATACTCCTTCATCCACTCTTATAGGTCACTATGTTTCTCCCTCTTTTGGAAATAAGTGTTGACTACAGCCATTTCCATTCTCTTGGAAAAATCCACCACCATCTGTTCTTTCTGGTTTCTTTCTTTGACACCAAACCTACCCATCACTTCCTCATCCCCTCTGTTTCCTTCACCAACATGTCCATTCAGGTCTGCTCCAATCACCGCTCTCTCCTCCCTGGGAATACTCTCTATTGCTTCATCCAGATCCTTCCAAAATGTATCTTTCTCCTCCATGTCACATCCAACCTGTGGAGCACAACCACTGACAACATTTAGCATCAGACCTTCTACTTCTACGTTCAGAGACATCACCCTATCCGACACTCTTTTCACCTCTACTACATTCATTGCCAACTCCTCCTTGAGGACCACCCCTACTCCATTTCTCTTTCTATCCACACCGTGGTAAACAGTTTGAACCCTGCTCCAATGCTCCACTTGGTCTCTTGGACACATTAAACATCTACCTTCCTTCTCTGCATCATGCCATCTAGCTTTCTACCTTTGCCTGTCTTTGTCCCCACATTTAGAGTTGCAACCTTCAGTCCTACATTCTTGACTTTCCTGCTCTCTTTCTGTCTCCTGACATGTATCCCTTCTTGTGGTCTTCGACTAACAGTAACCCAATTTTTGCCGGCACCCTGTTTGTTCACCGTGGCAGTTGTTGTTAACCCGGGCCTCAACTGATCGGTATGGTTTCACTTTGATGAACTCGCATTATAGTTTGGCAAAAGTGTTTTACATCGGATGCCCTTTGTGACACAACCCTCACCATTTATCTGGGCTTGGGACCGGCACATAAGATACACTGGCTTGTGCTCCTTAGTGGCCGGTTTAATTTTTTTGCTTTTATAATATTATGAATTACCTGTTAATATCTTTACTTTCATAACAATAATATAACTCTTACGAAAAGCTCATTTAGTTTATTAAAGACTGCAGCCCCTATTTATGGTGAAAGATGAAATGTTTTCTTTTGTTTCACTGGAGATTTTGTTAAGTTATTTTAAAGTTTTGTTTGTTTGTGCTTTGATATTTTACATATCATCTGGGAAAATAAGGTACAACCATTAATTTCCCATTACTTACAGATAAATACTTATAATCCTGAATGACCATTATGTTCTGAAGGGGGAAGCAGAACATCTGTGGACTTTAATCTTTCATTTTTCATCTCTTCATGTTGAACGTCGTTTGTTTTGGGGGATTAAAGACTGCATAAGATGAAAAACTGGCCAGTTGCCTGTATGATACACGCAGCAGAGTTTAGACTTCAACTCAAAACCATCCAAGCCTTAAAAGTGAAACTTCTCCCAGATGGTTTGGACTTTCTACAGCCGTCACAGATGGACACAACAATCCAGCTTCAATGAAACTAAATCTTACAAACCAATCCTGTTGTGGCTCGTTGTGTAAAGTCTTTAAATTGGTGGGTTTTTTTTTTTTTTTTTTTTTGAAGAGCTTAAAGAATCAACACTGCTGCAGATGAACACATGACCCGTTTGGACCTGCGCAACTTCGGATCTGAACCTGTTTATAAAACAACTTTATTAAATGTCAGTTCTAGTTTCAGGCTAATTTCACACTTGTTTTTTTTATTTTTTATATCCATCCATTATCTTTACCCGCTTCTTCCATTTTGGGTTGCGGGGGTCATTGGTGCCCATGTCCAGCCATCACTGTGTGAGAAGTGGGGGACACCCTGGACATGTCTCCAGTCCTTCACAGGGACACATGGAGACAAACAACCATTCACTCTCACTCACACCTAGGGACAATTTAGAGTTACCAATCAGCCTAACGTGCATGTTTTTGGTCTGTGGGAGTAAACCGGAGTACCCGGAGAAAAGCCACGCATGCACAGAGAGAACATGCAAACTCCACCCAAAAAGGTCAATGGCCGGGATTTGAACTGAGGTGACCTGCTCACCGAGAGGCGGCATCTCTACCAATTGCACCACCGTGCTGCCCCTGTATTTTTAAGTTTTTTTGTAAACAAGTCTCATTACTAAAGCAGCTTTTAAAAGGGTCTTTTATAATTTTGAATAAAAGAAAAGGCCGTGTGAATGCTAATTTTAGAAGAACTTGCTGAAAAAACAGCTTAAATGAGCTAAAACATCCTGAAATGTAGCTGAAATGTAAGAACAAGTCTAAATTAGCAGAAAAAGCAGAAAGAACACATTTGCTGAATTTGATTTAAATAAGCAGAAATGAGAAAAAAATTAGGAAATTAGCTCAAAAAGCTGAAATTAGCAAAACATAACTGAAAAATAACTGAAAATGCAGAAAGAAGCTTAAACTACCAGAAGGAAGTGGAAAAAGTTGAATGGAGCTTAAAAAATGTGGAATTAGCTGAAATAGCACAAAACTGCTAAGTATTAGCTGAAAGACCAGAAAAATCTAAAACTAGCAGAAAAAGCTGAATCAAGCATAACAAGGTGAAATTAGCATAAAGAAGTTAATTAGACCAAAAGTAGCAGAAATTACCATGAAAAACTTGATTTTTCTGAAAACAGCTGAAATTAACTAAAAATACTAACAAGTGGCTGAAAAGTTAGAAAAAGCTTAAATTAGTCTAAGGAACATATGTTTACCCAGTTAGCCTGAAAGAAGTAAATGAGCATGAAAAAGTGGAAATTATCTAAAAAAGCTGAAATTAGCACACAAAAAACAGCTGAAATGTAGCTTAAAAAGTCATAAAAAAGCTTAAATTACGAAAAAGAAGTGGAGAGAGCACATTTTTGCTAAATTAGACTGAAAACAGTTGAAATGAGTGCAAAAAATGTGGAATTAGCCAATAAAAAGAGCTAAAATTAGCATAAAACAGCTAAATATTAGCTGAAATAGCAGAAAAAGCTGAAACTTGCAGAAATGAGCTGAAAGGAACATACCAAGCTGAAACCAGCAGGAAGAAGAAAAACCACAAAAATGTTGTAATTAGCAGAAAGAATCAGAAAGGAGTACAAACCAGCTGAAATTAGCTGAAAAACGTTTAAATTTGCACCAGGAAGCTGAAAGAAGCTGAACAAAATATGAAAAGAGCAGTAAAAGGCTGTAAACAGATCTAAAGATTTGAAGGATGTAAAATGAGCTCAATTCACTTTCTATGAGGGGAAAAAAGTGGCAGAAAAGGCTAAAGATTTCAAAAAGCTAAAGTTGCTCCAATACCAAAAGTCACAGCAGGACTGTCCTGAAAGAGCTGAACATTTATGATAAATGATTTGTTGAAATAGCGCAAAAAATTGTAGAACGACACAGATGTTGAAAAATATACAGAAGAAAAATGGATCACAATAGTGTGAACGCTTCATAAACATTCACACAATTACTGAAGAATCGATAAAGCTTGAAACTTTATTCCAGGACTGCAGGTGAGAGGAGACCATCCAGGGTTACTGCAGTAGAATGAATCCACCTAATTAAAATGTACTTATGTTTTAAATTCTAGTTTTTCCCAAAGTAACTCTTGGTTTAGGTCACCACAGTAAGAGCTGAAACAAAACAAAACACATCAGAACTGCAGCGACAGCAGCTGTCGGTTACCAAATATCTAAATATGATGACACGGCAGATCACTCATTACCTGCTCAGAGAGCAAAAACCCCCCCAACAGCAGCTGAAGCCCTGCGAACATCTGCAAACATCCGCACACTTTACTTTTTACGTCCTTTACAAACGCGCGCCGACGTTTGACAGCTGACTTGGGTTTTAGAACATAAAACAGAGACGTGCATGTGTGAAATCTGAACGTTCGAGCACGTTTTCAGACTAAACGTGAAGAGGTGGAGCTCTGCAGAGCAAAGCTCATTCAGAGATCTCAGACGCTTGTCACGCACACACACACACACACACAGAATTAAGGTTTGATTTTATTTTGTCGACGCAGACCCACACAAGAATGATCTGCGCACGGATTTTTTTCTCAAAATCAAGTGATAACTAGAAAAAAAGAAGTTGATGAATATTGAGTGTTTTCTTACCGTACATGAGGACGACTCTTTTGGCTCACATTCAGACTCTTACATCTATCACATAATCATAGTTAATCCTTCCTACACACACACACAAGGTGAAAGCTCCACCCACTTTCACTCACCATCATCTGCCAGATGTAAATCCTGACTCTCCTGCTGCTGAGTTTAAACCAAGCCGTTGCTTGTTAAGAAGTTTGTTACAGCATTACTGCTCTCACAGGGTTTTAATGCTCAAAGCCTACGTTGTGTGAGATCTGGGCCACGAGCTGCAGCTCAGCGCTCAATAAGCTGCTTTGGATTTATTTATTTTTTCCTGCAGAAACAGAAAACATACCAGGGAGCTGCAGAAATAGAGCTGGAATGTTACAAGTGGGGAAAAAAATGTTGTGATTTTACTTCAAGAAAAAATTTAATTCAACATTCACATCACCAAGAGTGAGATTTAATGTTTTATGTGTATCTTCTGATTATTAGTTATTGTGTGAATGTTTATGAAGCATGATTGTGATCCGTTTTTCTTCAGCACGATTCTCACCCCGCAGTTTTGAACCTTTAGATGTGTTTACAACTTTTACTGCTCCTTTCACATTTTGTTCTGCTTCTTTCAGCTTCCTTGTGCAAATGTAAACTTTTTTCCAGCTACTTTCATCTGGTTTTTCAGCTGTTTTTTTTTTTTGCTCCTTTCAGATTCTTTCTGTGAACTACATTTATGTGCTTCGTCTGACTTCTTTCTGCTAATTCCAGTTCCTTTCAGCTGATTTCTGCAAGTTTCAGCTTTTTCCACTATTTCAGCTACTATATACCGGTAACTGTTTTTATGCTAATGTAAGCTTTTTCAGCTAATTCCAGATTTTTTTTGTACTGATTTCAACGTATTTCAGCCTAATTCAGCAAAAATGTGCTCTCACCACTTCTTTCATGTAATTTCAGCTTCTTTCTACCTTTTTTAAGCTACTTTCAGCTGGGTTTTTTTTGCTCATTTCAGCTTTTTTCAGATAATTTCCACTTTTTTGTTCTCATTTCTGCTTCTTTCCAGCTTAATTGGGCACACATGTTCTTCCTAGTCTTCCCCCCCCCCCCCCCCCGGAGACTTTAAGCTTTTTCTACCTTTTCAGCTACCTTTAGCAATTTTGAGCAAATTTCAGCCGTTTTCAAAAGAATTTAAGTTTTACATGGTAATTTCTGCTATTTTCAGTCTAATTACTTTTTTTGTGCTATACTCAGCTTGTTATGCTCTTTCAGCTTTTTCTGCTAGTTTCAGCTTTTTTTTTTTTTTTTTTTTTGCTATTCCAGCTATTATTTAGCTGTTTTATGCTAATTTTAGGTTGTTTTTTAAAAATTCATTTTATTTTAGCTAATTCTACATTTTTGCTCGTTTTAGCTCTTTCCACATCCTTCTGGTAATTTAAGCTTCTTTTCAGCCTTTTCAGCTTTCAGATTTTTATTTTTACAAATTTAAGCTTTTTAGCTAAATTTCTAATTTTTGTGCCCATTTGTGCTTATTTAAACCTAATTCAGCAAATATGTGTTCTTTCCACTTTCTTCTGCTAATTTAAGCTTTCTATACCTTTTTAGCTACCTTTTTAAGCATTTTTAGCTAATTTCAGCTGTTTCTGATTAATTCAATTTTTTTTGTACTAATTTCTGATGCTTTCAGCCTAATTAAATAATTTCTTCTAATTTCAGCTTGTTTGTGCTCCTTTCAGCTTATTTATACTAGTTTCAGTTATTTTGGCTACTATTTAGCTGTTTCATGCTAATTTAAGCTTTGATCAATTAATTCCTGATTTTTTGCAATTATTTCAAATTTCTTCAACCTAATTCAGCAAAAATTAGCTCTCTACTTCTTTCTGATAACTTAAGCTTCTTCCTGCTCTTTTTGCTACTTTTCAGCTGTTTTGTGTGTGTGTGTGTGCTAATTTCAGCTTTTTAGCTACTTTCCTAATTCTTCTGCTAATTTCTGATTATTTAAACCTATTTCAGTAAATATGTGCTCTTTCTGCTTTCTTCTACTAATTTAGGCTTTTTCTTCAATTTCAGCTACATTTCAGCATGTTTTTAGCTAACTTCAGCTGTTGCTCAGCAAGTTCTTCACACTGCGTTTATACAGGAAATGCAATTCCGTTTGTTTTCCTTTCCTTGACCTGACCAGGAGGTTTTACTTTTCTCAAACACAAATAAAACATTATGATGCCTCGTGACCCGAAAAGGAAGAAGCGGATAAAGATAACGGACGGATGGTTATGACACCTTCACTCTCAATGTGAGAAATTGTTTAAAACTTGATTTGGACTCAAAGAAGAGTCTTAAACACAAGAAAATTTGTTGGCTTGTTGCAGCAGGTTTGTTTTACCTCCAGAGGCCTGGTGGTCAAACACGGAGCAGCAGTCCTGCAGCAGCCGTCGAGGAGCCTCGGGTACGGTTGGCATGGCGACGACCCTGGGCAGACTGGCTATGGTGGTGCCTCGGGGGATGCTGGGGAAGCTGGGGAAGCTGGGCAGATTGGGCAGACTTGGCATGGTGATGCCTCTGGGCAGACTGGGAGGGTTGATGCCTCGGGGCAGGGAGCTGAACAAGGACGGCATGGTCACCCCTCGCGGCATGCTGGGAAAGCTGGGGAGAGTTCCCGGCATCTTCGACTCCGAGTCGTCCTGAGAACAGATGGAAGAGGAGAAAGGAAGTGAAGTGTGAAATGAAAAGAGGGACTTAAGTTAAAACCTCCTGGTTCTCCACATTCTTCTGAACATTAACTCCTGAAGGTCCAACCTGCGCCTCCCAACGCGACGGTAAAATTTATATAAAGCAGCTCAAACTTCTCAGGATGCTTCAGGTATTAATCAAGAGTTAAGACACTTCCCCAAACATCTGCAAATAATGAAGAAATACAACATTTTAAAATGACAACAAATCATTTCACTTTTTTTCCTCAAGGAAAATACTTTTGTAAATAAAAGAAAACTGTTATTTTTCATTAACATTAAATTCAAGAGATTATTTTGCACGTTAGATGTTTATTGCAGTTTTGTCAAGTAACAATAAAGTTTAAAGTTCTTTAAAAAAAACAGCCAGAAATGCAATTTGACACAAAAATATCAAACTTCCTGATGTGTAAACTGCATTTAAGTCTACATACACTGAAAAAAATGGAAAACCAAAATATAAAAAAAGATAATTTTATGCCAGGGGATATCAGATGTGGATTTTCATGCCAAAAATACTCTTTAAGAAAAACTTTTAATTTTACTTTTGATCATCACTGATAAATTCAAATTACCGTAATTTCTGGACTATAGAGCGCACCTGAATATAAGCCACGCCCACTCAATTTACAATTTTTTAATTTTTTTGCACATATATAGGCCACACTTGTGTATAAGCCGTGGGTATCCATGCTGTAATACAAGATATTTACACTTTTTTTTTTTACTTTTAATGAAATATATACTGGTAACATACACAAATACGTACAGTAAATGGGTTTTTTTTCTGAACAGTGCCTGTAACATGACTGGTTAAAAAAATAAATACAGCAGTCTACCAGGAAGTCACTGATCGCTAGCTTCACTTTCCTCCTGTGCACCACTGACATTGCATCCATGAGCTTGTGCTGTTCTCTTCATTATGTTTCCCCCCTCCCTGGGGGCACAACGGGGAGGGGAGAATGGGAGAGGGGGGAGTTTTCTGCCTTCCTAGGTAAACCAATGAAACAAAGTTCCATTGGCCAAATTTGACCAGTTTAATAATTTCATTGGTCAGATTTTTTTTTTAACCTTTATTTACACAGGTAGTCTCATTGAGTCATGAGGACAAACACCCCCACCGCCCCAAGAGAGACGTGCATTGCGCAGCTTTGTGACGCCCAGGTGTGACGAAGCTAAATGTTTTGGAGGCACGAAGCTCGTTACTCCGTTAAAAAAAAAAAAAAAATCCATAAATCAGCCGCAGCATTGTAATGTGTTGTGTGAAAAATATAGAGGCTTATAGTCCGGAAATTACGGTATACTATAAAACTTCATTATTATCTATTTTATATACCATTATTTATATCTATATACCATTATTTATATCTATATACACCATTATTTATATCTATATACCAGTATATATATATATATATATATATATATATATATATATATATATATATACACACACACACACACACACCATCAAATATAAGAATTCCATTTGAACATGTTTGTTAAAAATTTAAATAAAAATTGCATTAAACTTCCATTAGCAAAACTTCACAAGAACATTGAACTCTGCAGCATTATTTTTAAAGTTTACAATCTAATTGAAATGTAAAGCAGAGATTTCTATGTGGAAAGCTGCAGCAGCTGTGGTCCAAACTGAGCTCCTACCTGCTCGTCTCCAGCGCTGCTCTCCTGCAGATGTTTCCCTCCAACACACGGATCAACAGCTGCTTATGTAACATCTGCTGAGCCTCTGCTGGCCTGCAGCTCTAATCTATAATCAATAGGTGGGATTGATCCTCCGCTCTACATTCATTGCTGCCTCTGGCATCACAGCAAGCAGCACTTGAGTCCAGAAACATTATTTTATTTGTTTTTACATTAAAGTTTTATGATGAAATCTCATCACTGCTGTGGTGCATTAGAAACAGCACCCTCTGCTGGATCTTAATGAGAACTGCAACGGAAGCAGGAATAAAAATCTAATCTGCTCCATCTGAATCAACCTGGATACCAAGAGCTTAAAGAGTTGCTTAAACACATAAAGTGTATTAAAGGCAGAAATGATCATGAAGTGAAAAAAAATGTCCACAAAGGGAATGATTTTATCTTACAGGTCCAGTGTGAGACACTGCGTAATTTTTTTTTTTTTAATGAGTTATTTGAATCCAAAAACTCAGCAAGTTGCTCGTCTTTGTTGTGTTCAAATGTTTCTACAGAAGCTCAAATGGGACAAACGAAACACTAATTTCAAAGCAAGTTTTGCTGTTTAAAACACGTTAAAGCTTTAAGTCTGTGGGTTTAAATTTAATAGTCATGTTATAATTTTTTATTCGTTTATGTTACAAGCTTGTTTAGCATGTAATAGTGTGAACGTTTATGAAGCATTCTCACTATTATGATCCTTTTTTTGTTCTCCGCACGTTTTTCGGCGTGATTCTCATCCCACAGCTTTTGTGCTATTTCAGCAAATCATATATCAAAAAATGTTCAGCTCTTTCAGGACAATCCTGCTATGACTTTTGGTATTGGAGCAATTTTAGCTTTTTAAGATATTTAGCCTTTTCTGACACTTTTTCTCATAGAAAATGAATTAAGCTCATTTTACATCCTTCATATATTTAGATGTGCTTACAACCTTTTACTGCACTTTTCACATTTTGTTCTGCTTCAGCTTCTTGTGCAAATTTTAAAAAAATTCAGCTATCTTCAGCTAACTACACCTGTTTTGTGCTCCTTTCAGCTTTTCAGCTACTATTTAGCTGTTTTATACTAAATGTAGCTTTTTCAGCAAATTATTTTTTTCCTTATTTCAGCTATTTCCACGTCTCTCTTGTAAACCAGTCCTTGTGACTCAATGAAACTAACTTCTATAAATAAAGGCTGAATTAATTTCTGCTTCCTTAAGGCTGTTTAAGCTTATTTCTGTCTTTTCAGTAACTATTCAGCTATTTCTTTCTAATTTCAGCCTTTTTATTAGCTAATTTTCTGATTTATGTGCTAATTTCTGCCTATTCAAACTTAATTCAGCAAATACGTATTCTTTCTGCTTTCTGCTGCTATTTTAGGCTTGTTCTTCCATTTCAGCTACACTTCAGCAAGTTTTTTTAAGCTAATTTCAGCTGTTTTTCAGCAAGTTCTTCTGCAATAAGCATTCACACTGTATTTTTGCAGGAAATGCAGTTTCTCTAGTTATTTGTGCTGTTGTATGCAGGTGCTGATTTTAGTGTCTGGTGGTGTTTATGCACATGAACGCTCTTATTCTCCCAATGGTTCTGTGATGAACTGGAGACGTGATCAGGATTAAGGTACAGAAAATGGATGGATGGAACGTCCTCAAATGATCAATAAAATAATAAATGACTGCTTTAGACCTAAACAGAAGGACTGTTTATTTGTAGAAGTTGATCCATTTAAAATGTGGACCTCCTTGATATTTTCCCTGACAGGCCAGTGTCCAGAATATGGAAGGAATGAAAACAGTTTACTTTATATGTTGTCTGTCTAAAACAGGTCCCTCTTGAAAATGAGTCCCCGTGACTCAATGAGACTACCTGTATAAATAAATGTTAAATAAATAACATAAAATAAAAAAATGATAAGTGAATAATTAACACAAATGACTATCTAATAAATTTGAATAACACTAAAAATGTATATGGAAGGGAAAAAGCAGTTGTCGAATTGAAGTTCGTTTGTTAAAAATCTGTCAGCTCAAAGTTCTGTCCCCGTCAGCGTGTCCGTTGACCCTCGTATAAAAAGTTCAAGCTCCGCCTCCAGCTCCTGGGCGGAGTCTGACGCAGAGATGGTGTCTGCCTCTCCCAGAGTCCTCCACCAGGGCAGCTGGCTCGCCTGCAGAATGGCGTTGTGAGCTTTGCGCGCTCGAGCAGCGATGGAAGCCGACTGGCTCAGAAAGGAGTGTGCCTGTGTCTCCGTGACAACCGACAGCGGCGGGGCATCTGTGGGGGCCACACGTCATTAATCACCGATCTCTTAAAAATAATTAAAAAAATTAAAACTACAGCTTTACACATCACTGCTGTATGTTCATTTCTTTCTCTCTTTTGTTCAAGTTTTGTTTAGCAGCCAATGACAAAAGAAAAACTCAATATTGTTCTTTAAAAAAAAAAAAAAAAAGTGCAGCTGCGTGAACTCAGAGGATAAATAAGTTTGTTTAATGATGTCTGGGAATGTCTCAGCAGCCAGAAGATCATGTCATGTGACTGGAAAGAGAAATCACTTATAAGATTACCTTTTTTTTTTTTAAATTTACATATTAGAGAAAAAATGATTGCAGGTCCCACTCTTCTATTTGAACAATTTCAATTTCAGTTCAGTTTATTTATAAAGCGCCAAGTCACAACAGAAGTCGTCTCAGGGCGCTGAACAGAAACATTTATTTATAAAAACTAACGACACTTGTTTATCTGAGGAGCAGACTGCTTTGAATTCAACTCCATCACAGACTCTCATCTTGAGCAAGCATGAAGGCGACAGTGAAAAGGAAAAAGTCCCTCATGAGGAAGAAACTTTTAACAGAACCAGCTCAGGACAAGCGGCCATCTGCTTCGACCAGTTGGGTTTGAGAGGAACAGATACACAATGGCAGGACGAGAATCGCATGTTAAGATAGAAATAGTATCAAATGAAAACGATTCAATTTTAACAATTTATTTAAGGAAATGAGGTCATTGGTTTCCTATGGTTTTCTATAGCAGCATAACAAGACAACCCTAACTATAGGATTTATCAAAAAGGAAAGTTTTAATCCCAGTCTTAAAACTGGACAATGTCTCACGGACAGAAACTGGAAGTTGGTTCCACAGGAGAGGAGCCTGATAACTGAAAGATCTACCTCCCATTATGCTTTTAGAAACTCTAGGAACCACAAGTAAACCTCCAGTCTTAGAGCAAAGTGTTCTGTTAGGAAAATATAGAACAATAGGATCTTTAATATCAGATGGAGCTAGGTTGTTGAGAGCTTTGTAGGTTAGAAGTAAGATTTTGAATTATATTCTGGATTTGACATAGGGCATTAACAGAGTACTCGAGTAATCTACACATCGATTGCTAGGACATCTATCGAGGTTAAAAATGTAACGTCGAGTATCCGTAGTGACGTCATATTATGTGACCACCGTATGACCGTAGGGGGCGGTGTTGTACTGTCGCAGGTCACAGAGTATGGTGTAACACCGGGTCCAATCCACCGAACCAGAACCAGTTTCGGTTTAAGTTTCGTTTTTGACGTGCTGCATGTTTCTTCACGTTTGCAGTTTAATAATAATAACTAATAGTTTAGTTTTTCCTGTGACTTATTTGCAGTACGATAAATGGTAGGAGCATAATATACGCTCCCAATGTTTTGTTGGTCTTTTTTGTTGTTGTAAATAATTACTTTTTTTTGCGGTTTTATTTATTTTTGTATCTTGAGATCTATGACGTCATCAAATACTCGAGTTCTACTCGGGTTTTATTATGTTAATGTCGAGTTTAAAAATTATATACTCGTTCAACCCCTAATTTGACAGGGAGCCAATGGAGAGAAGTTAAAACTGGAGAGACATGATCTCTCCCACTAACTCCAGTTAAGACTCTGGCAGCAACATTTTGGATCAACTGAAGACTTTTGGACACCCAGATAATAAACCATTGCAATAGTCCAGTCTAAACATGACAAATGCATGAACCAGTTTTTCTGGATCATTTTTAGATGTTTATAATTTTAGTGATATTACGCAGGTGGAAGAAGGCGGTTCTTGTAACGTTTTTAATGTGGGGGATAAAAGACATGTCCTGATCAAAAATAACACCAAGGTTTTTAACATTAGAGCTGGAGGACAGATTAATGTCATCTAAGGAGGGAGAAAGACTGAAAAATTAATTCCCAAGATGCTCAGGTCCAAAAACTAAAACCTCAGTCTTGTCTGTGTTCAAAAGCAGAAAATTTAGGGTCATCCAGGTTTTTATGTCTTTAAGACAAACTTGTAGTCTAAGTAGCTGATTGGAGTCATTGGGTTTCATGGACAAATATAACTGTGTATCATCAGCATAACAATGAAAATGTATCCCATGCTGTTTAATAACTTTACCTAATGGAAGCATATACTGTATAAGGTAAAGAGTATTGTCCAAGCACTGAACCCTGAGGAACTCCATGACTAACTTTGGTGTATGATGAAGATTCATTATTTACATTTACAAATTGGAATACATCAAATAAATTCAATTCATTTCAGTTTATTTATATAGCGCCATGTCACAACAGAAGTCGTCTCAGGGCACTGAACAGAAACGGTCATATTTAAAAATAAGTAAGTAACAAACACATCAGCAGATTCAGAGAATAGCCTGAAAAGCTACTTACTGTCCCCACAAACCAATCATTTATTTAAGTCGGTTTGTGAACATGTCTGAGGCTGTGGCTTCAAGTGTCACTTAAAATGAAAAACAAAACTCTGACAATGAGTTACATCTGGAGATGGTGCATGTGGAGGCTTCTACAACACAGCTGATGGGTTTTAGCTCCAGCTGTGTGTGTGTGTGTGTTACCTAGCAGCTGCTCCATCTGTGTGTGTGTATATGCCAGCAGAGCCTCCACCCGCTGCTCCTCCCTCTGCTCCTCTTCTCCTCTCAGCAACTCCGCCTGCAGCAGCAGCTGCACCTCCTCATGGAGCGCCGCACACTCCTCGGGAGACACACGTGACGACTGCACACACGCACACTATCAGCGACAGCTCGGACACACAGGTGGCGTTGTGTTCAAATGAATCCTCTCACCGGGTGTGCAGAGATGTACTCCTCCACCTGTTGCTTTAGCTCCACCCTCCGGCTGTCTGTCAAGCCTGTCTGGCCAATCCAGAGAGGAGCAGGAGGCGGGGCCTTTGCTGCCCGACGTGTTTCAAGAAAACGGCGCATCTGGAGGAGCAGCCAAAGAAAGGTGTGTTTTAACAACCAGCAGGACAGAGTTAATGGGGAGTGTGTGTGTATGTGTGTGTGTTTACAGCTCGCTGCAGTGTCCTGGCGGCCTGCTGCTGTGCGTGTTCCTGTCTCAGAGTGTGTCGCAGTGTGTTGTTGAAACGCCTTCTCTCTCTGAAGCCTCTCCAGAAGCTCTGGATCACCACGGCTGCTCGGCGCTCACACTCCTGGAGGTACGGCTGCACCTGCTCTGAACACACACACACAATCATTCAAGAAACTTACTACAAATCAGAGCTATTGATTATTTCCTAAGGTGTCCATTAATAAATTCCTCCTGATAGATCTGCTGCACGATGGGAGTTGAAGTTTTATTAATAATATCTTAAATTCTCAGACACATTACAGACACAGGCAATGCTGACAGGTAAAATAAATGATGGCACAAACAAAGAATGAACAAATGCACAACCCTAAGACATAACTAAACATATTTTAGAAGCTAAAACAAAACATCTAGGACTTTTAAAAGGCCTAACATTGAAAAAATGTAAATTAAATTAAAACTTTTGACGATTTTCTAAGAGCCTGCAGAAATACCAACCTTCATTTGTTTCAATATTTATTTATTAACAGACTATATGAGTGAAATCAATGCACCTTTTGTCTGACACAAACATGATTATTTAAAAAAACACTTAAATGGTTAAAACAAGTTTTTTCTTTCCTTTTTAAACATAACAGCTACTAGAGCAGGGTGAGTCGCCCGCGAGGCATGTTCTAAAAAAAAAGTGCTATGTGTTGTCATCATTGTATGTTCCCATACAATGACAAAATTAGTTCTCTGCATTTAACCCATCACACCTGGGATACACCCAGATGGAGCACTGGGCAGTGATGTAAGCACCCAGAACGCAGTTAGGGATTAGGTGTCTAAAATAATGTCTAAAAATAGTGCTCATCATCAAGAATCCTAAAAATGGCCATTAGTTTGTTTTCAAATTTAAGTAACATTTGCATGGATGTAGATTTAAAATGAAAATAATTGATTAAAATCTTTTAAAAGCAATTCTTTGTGTACATACAGTATTAGTGACCTTGTCTGGGGTCAAAGGAAAGACTCATGCGCAGACGCACCACGATCTCCGAGTGGCGCAGCTGCTAGCTTTGTCTACCGCCCAGAGTAAAGGCGAAGTCGCAGAAAAACGTTAGAAAACATCATTTGATTTTTTTTTTATTCTATTTTCTCTTTTTTATTTTTTCCCCAGAGTGACTGGGAGGAAGAGGTTTTTTTAACATCTGTGAAAGACAAGTGTGCATGTGTGTCTCATTTGTGGGCAACAGCTAAACGCCAGAGCGACACTTCACCAGCTAACACTGTAGCTTTAATGCTAACTCTCTACATGGTAGCACGACAACATGTTGGAGTTGAAGGCGGCTCTGACAAACACAAGTCTTTTTTCACAAGGCTGAAAATGCTATTAAAATTAATTAACTAATTAAATTGATTAAATTAAATGAAAATGCCATTTTCAGATGACCCCCATCTGAAAATGGAGGACGCCTTGAAAGCAGCAATGATGAAGAAAGTGAAAAGCAATTTGTTTAAAAGAGCCAAAGGTGATGATTAGTTAAAAATGCTGCAGATCCAAAGATCAGTGCTAATGTGACATCAGTTGATTAAAAATACAACAAAAAAAAGTATTTTAAAGTACATCACATTTGTGTGATTCCTTGTGTATGTTCCTTTGTACTGAAACTCCTGCGGGACCAATAAAGTTCTATCTTATCTTATCTGTTGTTACGGATTGAGATTAAAATAAATAATGTTATAATAATTGATAATTTATCATATATGCTATGGTAAATCACTGATAATTTTTGTGGAGAGTCCTCAACATTAAGATGTGAACAGGCATTCATATATTCAATATATATATAAATATAATAGTAATAATATTATTATTAAAGGCTAACTACGTAAATTGATGTTTGTATCAGACTCGGTCCCACTGACGTAGCTCAGTCTCAAAAAGGTTGGTGACCCCTGTACTAGAGGAACACATAAAGCTACTTTAATGAATTATATGAAGCAAAACAAATCCAAACTAAAGCATCTTGTTATTAACGCATTCAAATATGGAAAGCTAAAACTCAAGAGATTCACTGTTTAAAATGAGATGGGAAGAGGTTTTACCAGGAGGAAGCAGTTGCAGCAGTTGCCTCTGTTTCTGGTGGAACCGCCTCCTGGCCTGCTGCCGCCTCACACACACCTACAACACATTTCACAAACTCACTTCAAGTTACTTAATTCAGTCTACAGTAGTCCCTCGCTGCGTCGCAGTTCGTTTATCGCGGACTCGCTCTATCGCGGTTTTTCAAAGTAAGATTGGACATGACACACAATTGGCTGATTGAAGGATGAGCCGCATGATCGGCGTGAAATTTTTATTTAAAATAAATTATTTTAAATTATTTAGCACCTGTGTGCAGCCCACAGCTGCAGGAGAAGCTCCCTCTGCAGCCTGTCATGATCTCCGCCTTGTAGCTAAGAAGTGGGCGTGGTCGAGAGCGCTGACAGATGCAGAGAGCTGAAATCATGACATGCTGTGCTCTTTTAGAGTTTAGAAACATTGTTTAGAATATTTCAAGAGTGTGGGAAGGGTTTAAAACCACTTTATATAAAAATAAACTACTACTTCCTACTTGGTGGTTTCTTATCGTGGAGCTTCAAGATACAGATCCCCGCGATAAACGAGGGACTACTGTATACTTAAATAACCTGCTGATGGGAATCAGAACAAAGAATTGAAAATAAAAACGTTACTTAAACAATTTTAATTGAATTTCTGATCAAACAAGTGTTGATTTGATGGTTTTGCCATTTTTTGTTTTGTTTCAATACAACCTAATGTTCCTGATTATAATCATGTCATGGTTGACTCTGATGTGATGAATCTAAAGACTTTCCACTCATCCAAGTAGTTCCTTCCTCTAAGAGGTACTTCCATAAAACAACACTTTTTCCAAATTAAAGAAGACTTTATACACCACACTGACGTATTTATACTTGAACCACTCTCTACCTACAAGAATTAAAAGAATGTTTATTAAAATATCAAAGTTCATGCTCAATAATCCAGGGGATAAATCCAACAAAATTCTGTCAGGTCATCTGGACAGTTTCTTTTTTTGTTCAGACATTTCGTCTCGAGGTTTAACACCCCATCCAGACCTCGTCTAACCGGTAATTGGACCCCCGCTAGACTTCTGAGTATTACCCAAACAATACTACGGTCAGCCCCTCTTAGGCTGGGTTCGAGAAAAATTCAACCAGGCACTAACAACCTTCATCTACAGGACGCACCCTTATTTCACCTCACAGCTCTTAGAGTCAAGTAGCAGTGACCCCAAAGTTTACCATAAGGCATCCTGTATTATGGCTGCTCTTCCTCTATTTGACGTTTCGCAATTGGCACAAGACCTGGAAAAAGATACTCATACACAAAAATAAAACTTCATAATTACTATAAAAGTCATATTTTACAGTCTTTTTAATTTAACATCAACCGTAAAGAATAACCCAAAGGCCATAGAAGACATCAAAATAGTATCCCCTTAGAAAATATTACTAAAAATAACATAAAAAACCAAGAAGCATTTGCTTAAATAATTTGATGCCGATTTGACGCTAAATAAAAAGCATCACAGAATGTAAATATATCAAAACAAATCTAAATATGTAAAATGTAAAACACTTCTCAGCTAACGGAGTGCTAGTGTGAGAAAATTTCAAGGATATTGCATAAATATAATAGCAGTTTTCAAAGAGTTGCTTAAATGATACAACTGCTTGCCACAGTTTATGTTCTGATGATGTTTTCAGTATCTTTGTTTTGTAAACTGAAATGAAATATTTTGAAAGAGAACTGTTTTCTTTCTTCATTAATATTTACCTGATACCTGAGCTCCTCTTCCCACTTCTGCGCCTCCTTCTGCTCCTGCTGTCGCCTCCTCCGAGCCCTGACACACATATACGCAAAGGAACATTAGTAGATTTACTTTTGGGTGTGAAGTACAAATAAGAAAACCGACTCCTGTGTGTGTCACATTTTAGAGTCAGAGTAAGTTTAGAACAACCTAGGTTTGAAAACAAAAACATGATTAAAATGTTTTATGTGATATCAAACGATCGTGATTGTATTTAAATTATTAACTCAGTTCATGTTGGACAATTTTAACAAAAAATTATTATTTTTTTTTAAATAGAGAGAAAAGGAGAAAAGCTCTTGCACCAAAGAAAATAACGAGATGAAGAACAACAACATGGATGCTGGTTTAAAAAAAAGAAGCTTTTTGCCTATTTTTCGCCATATTTTTTGAAAACAGAATAAAGATTTCTTTCTATTTCTTTCATACTAATATGAGAATTTCTTGCTTTACTATATAATTTATTCAAAAATAGCTGGTGACCTGTTGCAAATCCAACAACTGTTTCTAATTCCATCTTCTGAATTTAACTTTTAAATTCAACATGAAGGTTTCCACAGAATAAAAATTTATTTAAATGAAACAATTTTTTTGTGCATGAGTCCATTTTAAATAGAGAAATTGCATTTCCTGCAAAAATGCAGTGTGATTGCTTATTGCTGAAGAACTTGCTGAAAAACAGCTGAAATTAGCTAAAAAAACTTCCTGAATTGTAGCTGAAATACAAGAACAAGTCTAAGTTAGCAGAAGAAAGCAGAAAGAACACATATTTGCTGAATTAGGTTTAAATTAGCAAAAAAATAGCACAAAAGTTGGGAAATTAGCAACAACAAAAGCTGAAATGAGCAAAAAATAGCTGAAAAGATGGAAAGAAGCTTAAACTACCAGAAGGACGTGAAAAGAGCTGAAATGAGCTCCAAAAAGGTGGAAGAGTCTGAAAAAGCTAAAATTAGCATAAACAGCTAAATAGTAGCTAAAATATCAGATAAACCTGGAACTAGCCAAAATGTGCTGAAAGGAACATACTAAGCTTAAATTACCATAAAGAAGTTAATTGGGCTGAAAGTAGCAATAATTGCCATGAAAATTTTGACTATATTATAAAACTGCTGAAATGAGCTAAAAATAATGCTAAAAAGCTAGCTGAAAAGGTAGAACAAGCTAAAATTAGCACAAGAAGCCAGAAAGAACAATTAGGCTGAAAGAAGCCGAAATGAGCACAAAAAAAGAAATTATCTGAAAAGATGAAATTAGCAAAAAATAAAATAAAATAAATAAAAATCAGCTGAAAAGGCAAAACGAAGCTTTAACTACCATAAGTGCAGAGAACTCAATTTTGATCAGTTAGGCTGAAAAAAGTAGAAATGAGTGCAAAACGTGTGTAATTAGCTGAAAGCTAAAATTAGCATAAAAAACAGCTAACTAGTAGCTGAAATAGCAGAATAAGCTGAAACATACTGAAATAAGATAAAAGGAGCAAAACAAGCTGAAATTAGCAGAAAGAAGTTAGAAGAAGCACAAAAATGTCATAGTTAGCAGAAATAATTTGAAAGGAGCACAAAACAGCTAAAAAGCCAGCTGTAATTAGCTCAGAATAGCTGAAAAAAACTTAAAGTTTGCAGAAGGAAGCTGAAAGAAGCTGGAGCAGAACAAAATATTAAAGGAGCAGTAAAAGGTTGTAAAAACATCTAAAGATATGAATGACGGAAAATGAGCTCAGTTCATTTTTATGAGGAAAAAAAAAGGGCAGAAAAGGCTAAATATTTAAAAAAGCTAAAGTTGCACCAATACCAAAAGTCATAGCATGACTGACCTGAAAGAGCTGAACGCTTAAGTTATGATTTGTTGAAATAGCACAAAAATGGTGGAACAAAAAAAAGGGGCTGAAAAACATATGGAAGAAAAATGAACGACAATAAAGTGAATGCTTCATAAAACATTCACACAATAAAGGAGCTTAAGTTCAAAACAAAAGTTACTCTTGTCACTTGGTGTTAACTTAAGTTATGCCAAAACAATAATAACAGATTTATCTGACAACAAAGTGAAGCCATCACCGACGTGGATGTTCAGTGTGTGTGTGCTGACAGTCCCAGTTCCAGGCTCTCCACCTGCAGCAGGACGTTGTCACCTGTATCTCCTCTGCAGAGCGCTCACAGCTCTGTTCAGACTCTTCACTCTGCGTCGGGTCCGATACGACCTCCATGCCGCTTGGATCACGCACGCCGCTCGCACACGCTCAGCGCTCACCTTCAAACACAGAAACCTGTTAATTTCCTGAAAGTGTTTTTTTTTTTTTTTTTAAAGCCAGAGTGAGAGACAGTATTTTGGTGCATACAGAGAACACCATTTGATTTGATTAGATGTTATTTGAGCTTATTTAATAATTTATATTTAATTTACTGCTTTTAAATGTATTTTAGAGAACAATGCATGTTTATTACAGCTTGTGTTTATTTGAACAAATAACTTGAATTAATAAAAATAAGGGCTAAAGAATTGCACAGTAAGTTTTTGTTATTACTATTGTCGCTTATTATTATTATGTTTTATTATTATATTTACTATTATTTTATTTTAAGTGCATTATTTTTTATATTATTATGTGTCTTCTTGGTTTTAGTTTGTGTGTTTTTGATGAAGCAGTATGTTTGACAAGTTCCCAGAAGATCCATCCATTATCTTAACCCGCTTCTTCATTTTCGGGTTGCAGGGGTCACTGTGCGAGAGGCGGGGGACACCCTGGACAGGTCTCCAGTCCGTCACAGGGACACGAAGACAAACAAGACAAACAATCATTCACTCTCTCACTCACACCAAGGGACAATTTAGTCACCTGTAAGCCTAACATGCACGTTTTTAGTTTGTAGGAGGAAACCGGAGAAAACCCACGCGTGCACAGAGAGAACATGCAAAATTATTTTCATTATTATATTTCATCAGACCTTAAGAACAGACACTTTTCAAGGTTTCACTTTTGTTCTTTACCAAGTTAAACTCATCGCTTATCAAAGTAGGAGAAGACGTCAACAAACCTCTGTCTGACTGCGCTCGCTCTTCTTTGATTGGACGATTGCGACCAACTGATCCACATCCTGGTCGAAGCCCCGCCCCTTCCAGTCCTTCTCCAGCAAACTGTCTAAACCTGAAGAAACACACAGTCACCACTGACCTTTAATTCCCAGTTTCACCTGATGCAGGTTTACACCTGTGACCTCTGACCTTTGAATTTGAGCAAGAGGGGCTGGAGGCGGAGCCCCAACTGCTTGGCCATAAGAAGCATCAGTGCGATGGAGGCTCCACCTACTGCTGAGTCGGAGCTGAGCGCTAATTGGCCAACGGCTTCGTTGAGCAGCAGCAAAATGGATTCATTGCTAAGAGCAGAGAGGAAGTTCCTGCAGACGGAAAATGACAAACGTCTATCGGTGTGGTATTTGCTGTAGGGGTTCTGGTACAAGAACACTGTTATAAACCCTATGGACTGTTAAATGGAGTCTTTGTGGACTGGACCCATGACCCGTAGATTCCAGTTAATTGATATCTAAAAGGTTGGCATAAACCAGTGGTTCCCAACTCTGGTCCTTGAGGAACACCATCCTGCATGTTTTAGTTGTTTCTCTGCTCCAACACACCTGATTCAGCGGTTTAATTATTTTCTTAGGTTTGGCAGAAGCCTGTTAATCACCTTTCATTCACATCAGGTGTGTTGGAGCAGAGGAACAACTAAAACATGCAGGATGGTGTTCCTCAGGGACCAGGGTTGGGAACCACTGCTTTATACCATTTGTCAGAACCCCAGCTGTTCTAGTGAGGGGTCTGGAAGTGTTTCGGGGAGAATCCAACAAAGTTCAGTCAGGTTATTTGGATGGGTTTTGTTTTTTGGGGGGTAGACGCTTTGTCCTTCATCCAAAGGACTTCGTCAGTTCGAGGAGCCAAAACAAACTCAGTCCCACAAGCAGCACACAGTCGTGGACCAACCAGTTTGCTGGTGATCAGATGGTTTCCGGGACCTTGGATGAAAGACGAAACGTCTCTACAAAAAAAGAAACCGTCCAGATGACCTGACAGAACTTTGTTGGATTTTTTTAAACCTGGATTATTGAGCATGAACTTTGATGTTTTGAACCACTTTGGCTATGGGTGCCTCAGAGGACTCAACGGGGGGAGAGGGCAGACCCCAGAAACCATCTTCTCACCATCAAACTGGTTGGCCCACTATGTGGGTGTGCTGCTTGTGGGACTGAGTTTATTGTGGCTCCTCGGACTGATGAAGTCCTTTAGATGCAGGACGAAATGTTTCAACAACAACAAAAAAGAAAATGTCCAGATGACCTGATTTTGTTGGAGCTTCTATCTGGATTATTGAGCATGAACTTTAAATTTTAGGGGAGAATAATACTGTAAATATGTTTGGGTTGGTGACAAATGTTAACTTAGGTCCCATGTGAATACTACAGATTGTTGGTTAACAGCAATAAAAAAAATTAAAAAAATAGAGTTTTTGATTTTTAGTTCTGAGGTGCAGAGAATGAAAGATGATCTGAGTGAACGTTAGGAGCAAATGACGATAGATTATTTTTAAATCTGAGCTGAAGACTAATTTTTCTCAGCTCGCAGAAAGAGAATTTCAAAGCCAGGAGTCCGAAGACAATAGAACCAAAGTTTTGTTTTTCGAAAGTTTTGGGTAATGACTTCAGACAGAAACTACGCACAAAAAATAATCAGAATCCCCTCTAACTTATGAATGCTTAATCACTTTAAATTTATGATCATAAAATACAATATATATATATATATATATATATATATATATATATATATATATATATATATCTTTTTCATATAAATTTGCCGTGCAAGTATGATTCTTGTTTTGTTTTAAAGTAGGGATGCATGATATTATTGGCATGGTATCGGTATCGGCCGATATTAGAGATAAAGTTAAAAATTGGACATTGGCCATTCCATGAAAACAATTCACCAATAAAAAAGGCTTCTGTTTTAAATTAGTTTTTAATTTAAGAAATTGTCAAGTACATCGATTAATGCACAACTACTTATGCGCTTTTCATTTGTCGCTTGTGAACAGGTCGAGTTTAGATTCGTGAAAATGAACAAATTTGCACTGCGAGTGTTGTCATTGTGTTAGAGAGAGTAAATTTGACACTAGAAAGTTCCTGGAGAAACTTTGACGGGGACTGCCTATTTATTATTAAATTATAATTAATAATAACTATTAATTATTAATATATTGTCAATCTATTCATTATTAATAACTATTAATATATTTGACAACTATATTAATATTAATAATTAATATTAAATATCAAGTATTAATATTAGTAATTGTTGATGTTATTATTTGTAATTATTAAAGCAAATACTTAATAATGTATGTTAATTATTATTTTTACTAATTAATAATAATAATAATAATAATAATAGGTGATAATAGGTGCCTTCTATGCATGTTGAACCAAAATGGCTCCCGACATAACTCAGTTTCTTTGAAAAGTTTTCTCCTATTCATTTCCTATGGGAAATTTGTCATTTTCGTTAGCAAAATATGTCGCCAAGGTAACGCCAATTGCCAATAAAAGTAATAGCACACATCTCGGAGCCGGGACGGTCCTTTGGATATAACTTTTGTGGGAGTCCACTTTGCGGTTCGGGCCGCATTAAAGTTGAAAAAGATACGCTTTTCAGGTGTAGAATAATAAGTGGGCAGTCACCAACTAGTTCCTGGAGTTGGTGAAATATTGCATCTTTGTTCGCAAATTACTTCACCATGGTAACTTGAAATGCCAATAAAAGTAATAGCACACATCACGGGGCCGAGCCGGTCGTTTTGATATAACTTTTGTGGGGGTAGACATTGTGGTTCGGGGCGCATTAATGGAGATAGAAATGTAGACTCACTTCCGAGGTGTAGAATAATAGATGCCTGCCATGCATTTACATGGCAGTCCCCAATAATGCATTATTTTAATTCCACAGCAGAGAAAGCTATGTAGTCTCTGAAAGTAGGTCTAGGGGAAAAATATTGGTATCGGTTGTCGACCAAATAAGTTTTAACATATCGGATATTGGCCAAAAATCCAATGGCGTGCATCCCTAAAAAAAGTATTTTGTTTAGCTCTTTTTAAACAAATTCAAATTAATGTACCGTGCACACACGTCACATGTTTCTACGTGGCGTCAGTGTTTATTTGTGAAACTCGCTGTATCTTACACAAAACAAAATATTCTGTAAACCGTGCGCCAGACGTGCTCTCACCTGCTGACTGTGCAGATCTGAATCCACATCTGGATGCAGAGCAGGGACACAGCGGCGTCATCGCACATCTGGATCTGTTCGTAGTGGGCAGAGCTGAGGACTGCAGACAAGACACACTTGAGATCAAGAAACTTCAAACACGTGTGGATGTTCATCTTGCTATTAAATGAGTTGCGTGTTAGGGACTAGTTTCATGGGCGGATGAATCTGGTTTTGTAAGCAACCGTGGCAGCAGGAGAACATGGGTGAGTGGAAGTATTTAAAACAGGAGCAGAATTGAGTAGAGATCGATCAGAGAGCTGGTTAAAACTGACCCTGAGCTGTGAGGGAGGCGTGAGCGGACAGCAGCCAGCCGATAGAATCCATCACCTTCCTGAAGGAGCACTGCAGACGCACAGAAAGACGGAAAAGATGCAGCCGCAGGTTGACTGAAGCTCGACAGGATCATTCACCAAACTGTTCCTCACCTCCGCTCGGCTCATCAGCTGACAGGCCAAGGGTAGCAGGCTGTCTATGACCGACGGCAGGAACAGCCTATGAAAGGCCTCGGACTGGCTGCCTGGCTCCACCCCCACGCAGCACGAGCTAAAGATAAAGAGGCAAGAACGTTAACCTCAGTTTACCCAAAAAAAAGTGTGTTCATCAAATTAAAAGCCTAGCATTTCATTTTCAGCCTAATTCAGCAAAAAATGTGCTCTCTCCACTTCCTTCTAGTAATTTAAGCTTCTTTCTGTTTTCTTTAGCTACTTTTCAGCTGATTTTTTTTGTTGTAATTTCAGCTTTTTTCAGATAATATCCACTTTTTTGTGCTCACTTCTGCTTCTTTCAGCCTAATTGGGCAAACATGATTTCTTTATTCTGCTAATTTAAGCTTGTTCTACCCTTTCAGCTACATTTAGCATTTTAGCTAATTTCAGCTGATTTAAGATAAATTCAAGTTTTTTGTAGCTTATTTCTGATATTTTTTAGATTTTTTTTGCCTAATTGACTCCTTTACGCTCATCTCAGCTTGTTGTGCTCCTTTCAGCTTATTTCGGTTAGTTTGCATTATTTCAGCTGCTACTTAGCTGTTTTATGCTATTTTAGCTTTTTCAGCTAATTCCACGTTATTTTTCAGCTCATTTCAGCTCTTCACTTTCTTTTGGTAATTTAAGCTTTTTTCTGTCTTTTCAGCTACTTTTCAGCTTTTTTTTAAACTAATTTCATAATTTCTGTGCTCGTTTCTGCTTATTTAAACCAATTCAGCAAATATGTGTTCTTTCAGCTTTCTTCTGCTAACTTAGGCTTGTTCTTCCTTTTAAAATTCAGCATTTATATAAATATATATTTTATTTCAGCTGTTTTTCAGCACGTTCTTCAGCAATAAGCTTTCACACTGCATTTTCACAGGAAATGCAATTTCTCTAGTTTTCGCTTATTATCTGTAAAATTGTCTCATCTGTATCCATTTTTGTCTTAGTAAAGATAGATTAGACGTGGCAGCAATCGTGAATTGGCTTCATTCTAAAAGTTCACTAGTTGTAAATATACATCCAAAGATTATTTCCTGAAAATGTCATTAAAATCCGTCCTGTGGTTTATGAGATATTTTGCTAACAGACAAAAACACAAACACACACAAATAAACATAAATGCTTAACTTAGCCTTTCAGCAGTGGGTGATAATTAGACAAAATTAATTTCTAAAATGAACCTTGAGAAAGTAATACACAAGAAGAACTGTAAAACTTTGTTTTAAGTCAAAAATATTCAAGTAAATATATTAATTACATTAAAAAAGTATTGTTTTATGTTCTGTTTCACAAAAATAAGTATTTCATTTAGAACATTTATAATAAATTAATGGAATACATGCAAACACTTAAAATATTCTATTAATTAAACTCTGATTAAAATAAAATTATTCAAAAAATATTAGAAAGTATTACTTCAAATGTTAAAAACAGGCATTTAAAAGTTTTTAATTTGCCTCTAAAAAATATGATTTTTCTTACATTTATGTCCGTTTAAAATTCAAAAATAAAAATTATAATAATAAATATATGTTAATTCTGTGATTATGTTTCAATTTAATATCTAAAAAAAATAGTAAAATGAAACTAGAAAGTTCCTGGAGAAACTTTGACGGGGACTGACTATTCATTATTAAATTATTATTATTAATAATTAATATTATTAATAATTAATATTATTAATAATGTATTATTAATATATCATTGACTTATTAATTATTATAAACTATTAATATATTTGATAACAATATTGATATTAATAAGTAATATTAAATATAAATTATTAATATTAATAATTAATGTTATTATTTGTAATTATTAAAATGGATCATTAATAATTTATGTTAATTATTTTTACTAATTAATAATAGGCGATAATAGGTGACTTCCATGCATGTTGAACCAAAATGGCTCCCGACGTTACTCAGTTTCTTTGAAAAGTTTTCTCCTCTTCATTTCCTATGGGAAATTTGTCATTTTCGTTAGCAAAATATGTCGCCATGGTTACGCCAATTGCCAATAAAAGTAATAGCACACATCTCGGAGCCGGGCCGGTCCTTTGGATATAACTTTTGTGGGGGTCCACTTTGCGGTTTGGGCCGCATTAAAGTTGAAAAAGATACGCTTTTCAGGTGTAGAATAATAAGTGGGCAGTCACCAACTAGTTCCTGGAGTTGGTGAAATGTTGCGTCTTTGTTCGCAAATTACTTCGCCATGGTAACTTGAAACGCCAATAAAAGTAACAGCGCACATCACGGGCCGAGCCAGTCGTTTTGATATAACTTTTGTGGGGGTAGACATTGTGGTTCGGGCCGCATTAACGGAAATAGAAATGTAGACTCACTTCCGAGGTGTAGAATAATAGGTGCCTGCCAAACTATTTATTTAGAACATTAACATAGTACGTAATTTTTTTGGTTCTAAGTTTAAAAATGATTGCTCAGCTCTCTGTTTGGATATACCTGGTGAGGTGAGCAAGTGTGGCAGTGGCGCTCCAGCTGCCCCGCAGCCTGCTGGGATTCAGAGAGAGCACGTGCACGCACTGATTCAGGACGCCGCTCTGATACAACTGAGACTTGACTTGAGCCAACGAGTTGCTGTTTGTCTGCATAGCTGCTGAGTTCAGAACCTCTGAGAGACAAGAGCAAACAAAACGTCCACATCAAGGTCTCTGTGTGGACAGAAGACAGACAGGTGAGCGTCTCACTGTTTAGACCGTTGACCAGCAGGCTAATCTTCTGTTCTGGGTTCAGGGCTTCGTTCTCTAGCTGCCTCTTCAGTTCTGAGATCAGAACCCGCTCCTCCACCGGCTCCATCACAGGAGCTTCAGCAGATGGTGTAAGCAGCACTCTGGAGAAAAGCTGACCTGAAAACAGTCAAGACACTTATCAGAACGGACTAGATGAGTCCTGCAAAAAAAAAAAAAAACTGAAGGTAGAAAGTCTCCAGGACAACTTCAGAGATCAAATCCCCTCATTTGTTAGAAGACACCCAAGCTAATCAGAGCATCCACCCTCATTTGCCCCACTCTGGACCCTTGAGCAAGGCCCTTAACCCCATCTGCTCCCCCCTCGTGTCTGTATAAATAAAGCTTAAATAAAATAAAAGTATTTAGATGTCACAGTCTGACTGAATGACCAGAGATTTCTGGACTAGGACTCCAGCCTTACCACCTTCACTTACAGAGTTTACACAACAAATTAATTAATTAGAAACTCCGGTTTTACCGCCTACATTACAGTAACAAAACAAATAAAAAGAGGAGAAATAGTAACTTATTCCTGGTGTGCTCACGTGTGACTCAAATCCTGTACAACACTCTGACGGTTCACAGCTAAACACCTGTACTTGTTAGCTTAACGACATGTGTTCGTAAAGCCGTGTTATCCATCTTAGCAAACAATTAAATAAAGTTCCCTGACGTTATAAGCAAAGTTAACAAAATAAACAACACCTACCGGTATTCAGTGAGTATTAAAAATGGTAATGCGATGCTGGGATGCAGCCAAAGGTACTGCTCCTAGCTGGATACTGTGGTTAACGGTTAGCAAGAGTGAAGGCAGAAGCGGATGCTCTTGTTTCCACGGTAACGTGACGTCATAAATCAGCGACTAAGCTTCGCTCTGTCGCTTATGTCAGAATTCTGATTTTTGTCACGTTACATGAGTCCTGTTGAAATAAAATTATACGTTTTCTGAAGGTGATTCAATAAGATTTAATAGGATAAAAAAAATTTTTTATCTTGAAATACTTTTTCATATTTATCTTGTGTTGCTTTATGGGTTGTTTCATATTTTTTCTGCTCTGATCTGTGAAAAGTGGGAGTATGCAGCAGTAAACTACTGCGAAAGCGCAAATTGTTCTCTCTCTTTATTTTTATTTTTTTTTATGAAACTGCTTGGTTTTACAAGTGATAAGCGATGTGATCTTGTTTGTCTATTGTGGATGTTCTCTTTAAATTTTGTATTGTTCTCGTTTGAATACAGCACCTCAATTTTTTTTTAAAACCGGCAAGATTTTATCTAAATAAAATGATTTTGAAAAAAAATACTGTGAGCAAAGTTTGGGGATCTCTAAACCTTTTTGAAAAATGTTAAATTTCAATCATTTGAGATATTGCAAACTAAAATATTTCTACCAGTCAAAATGCAAATATTCTTAACATTCATTCGCCATTCTTAACCTTATAAAACATGGCAAAATGTCGCTGTGTCTTATATAAAAAAAAAAATAAAAAAAAACTGGCCATTTAAACCTCACACATTAAAGCCTCGGTTTGCTGTTAGAGCATTTGTCCACCAGATGTCGCTGCAGCTCCAGCTGCGTAAAGTAATCCAGTTTCTGCAGCTGTTCCACTTTTATAACATTAATTAACAACTCGTTCAGTGTATATATATATATATATATATACGATTAACATTGTTCTGTGATTTTAGTTAATTTGAAAATAGTTTATTAGGAAATATAAACTAGTGATATATTTAATTCTAAATATCATTTATTACTTGATATACCTGTTAGTTTAGTTTGATTTCACTTATTAAAAAAAACACTTTGTTCAATATTAAAATGGAAATTTAATTATTAAAAAAACCCGCATTTTACATGCATGTTGAATGACTGCTTGAATTTAAAAAATATGAGAACAAAGACTAGCTAATAAAGCAAAATGCTAGTTAAAAAGTGATAATACAGCAGCTAAAAGTAGCAAAATAATAAGTTATAGTAGTAAAGAGATAGCTAAAAGTAGAAAGTGGCTAAAACTAGCAATAAAATAAAAGCAGCAAAAAATGATCTAAAACTTAGACGCAGCAGAATGCTATTTTCAATTAGCAAAAGGATAGCTGAAAAGCTAAAAGTAGCATAACAATAACAGAAATACAATGAATATGCTAAACACTGTTTTAAAGGATTTGAGGATTTGAAAAGATCTCATTATATTTGTATGTGGACTTTAAAAGTTTTTGTGAATAAAGTAAAATAACTTAAAAAGTAAAGTTGCTAAAACTAAAATAAGTTACAGCGCCCAGCTGCTGAAAGACCTGAACATTTTGATATATCAACATGTAAATTAGCACAAAGTATGTTGAAGCAGTTTGACTGAAAAAGCATACAGAAATAAAATCAGAATCAGGAACACAACAGACTTGCAACCTGTCCTGGGTGTTCCCCGCCTCTCGTACAGTGGTACAGTGATGGCTGTCACTTGGGCAGTTGCACTTCATTTGAAACTCAGGTCCTCCACCAGAGGCCTGGGAGTTTGAAGTTTCTGCGCAGTTTCCAAGCTGTTCCTACGACTGGGCTCTTCTGGACAGAAATCTCTGAGGTTGCTAATAGGATCTGTTGGAGTCACTCTTCCAGTTTGGAGGTCACAGCACCAAGTGCTCCAATGACCACTGGTACTGAAGCTTTGGCTCTCCACAGCTGCATTTCCTCTCTGAGACCTTGGAATTTCTCCAGCTTCTCGTGCTCCTTCTTTCTGACGTTACAGTCACTTGGGATTGCTACATCTATCACCACTGCCTTCTCCTCTTCATCGTTGACCACCACAATGTCCAGTTAGCCATCATCTGTTTGTCAGTCTGGACCTGGAAGTCCCTAGCCCTTCTATTCTCCACTACCCTTGGTGGCGTCTCCCACTTTGACTGTTGGACCTCCAGTCTATACTCAGATGTTTCTGGACATTTTTCCAGCCACTTGGTAATGGTGTTCCATGCTTTGCCTGCATGGATCTTACACCCTGTTATTACGTATTGGACTGTTTCAGGGGCATCTTT